CCACACCATTTCCATGCCTGTTTCAATCAAACAGCTATATCTCAGTTATGCTTCATCCAATCCTCACAAAATTTGAATGCTGATCGGTCAAACGGGGGGCTACGGCCACTGTCTAAATATGTCCCACCTTGGCTAATGCAGCTGAAATTACCTTATTTCTCATCAAACATTCAAAGATTAATCACCTTTCCCTTCATCTCAGTCCATATTTTTAAATCGCTTTAATTTTCCTGCCATTTGACTTCAGGCTGTGTACACTGCAACAATTGCAATTTTTTCCAACAGCTAGTCACCACATTTCCCTTCTGGTTGTCATCTACCCTTTTCCCTTTATCCTACCTTGATGAACATTTCTACTGTAATGTCCTAATGTCAGGTCTCATCCAATCATAGTAGTATTATCTACTTTCTGACTATTTAAATGCATTGGCCATCAGTTACAGTCTGTACTTCATTTCCCATCATTAGTGAACTACTAATTTTATGCCATTTACTGTTTTCCTCTCCATTGCTTCTGTCCATTAGCTTTGGACCCGCTTGTCACTGCTTGCAGTTATCTTATTATTATTATTAATAATAATAATAAAATTATTATTATTATTATTTCAGACCTAAGTAGGGGGGGTATGGGGGGGCATGCATGTTGTCACAGGAGAACTACAACCCCCACCCCCAACGTACGCACCTGCATGTTCATCTTCGAAATTAGTCTCCTTTATAGTGACCACATTGGTGCACACAGTTAATCTGCTGAAGTAAAATTAAGGTGCAGTAAACTGGATTTATACCAGGGCATGCTTACAAGAGAATCCGATATCATCCACCACAAGGGGGCACAAGTGTTCAACATTGCTGAATGCAGTCAGGTTAAACTGAAATCAAATGTACCTTTAGTGACCTTAGATGTTGTAGAAAATGTGCAACAGTTGAAATGGACATAAGTTATGTTGCAAGTTCTCCCAGTAAGAACTTATGGCGTTTCTTCCAGACGTTTGAATCACCTCTTGATTGCTTCTTGCCATTCAAACTGAGATGAAAGGACCCACCCACCGGCTCTTACCAGGACAGCCTGTTGAGCATAGTGTTTCAAAGGTACGTCTGATGGACACCAATGAACAACGGTGTACGAGGGAGTCTTTCAGGGGGCTGGTGATATATCCCTAGGCAGGTGTCACCTGGGACTTCTTTGAGGTCTAATGAGACTCAAACCATAGCTTAATGAGCTCTAATGAGACTCAGTGCAAAGCCCTGAACTAGAGCTCATCAAGAACAAAACAGTGATCTACAAATTTAGGGAGGACAGCTGCTGGGGCTTCATCACATTGTTTATTCATGTGGTGATTTAACATTTGAGCTGCATCCAGGATCAAGAATCTTTATGTGTTGTTGTGCAAGTGGATTACAGTACAGCGAAATCTAGTATCACCCTCCATAATGTACAAAATGGTAACACTTTACTTGATGGGGCACAAGTACTTAGTATCTCATGAACTCATGAACAAATATAGTTGCTACTTGAGATAACATGCATCACGATTCAGTAATAATGAACAAACATGAGACCAATATATTACTTGTGTTATTCATTAGTTGGTCCTTCAGTACTTCCTTAGTAGTTCCTTCAGTTGTTCACAAAGGTTTACAGAATTAAATATAGTATCTTTAGGATAAAGCATGCATCACAATTCATTAATAATGAATTAACATGAGATCAGTATGTAACTAAGGCTTAGTTTGTGGTTAATTGATACATAAGTAATGGCATGATACTATATTTGTGCCCTGTCAAGCATAGTTGTCAATAAATAACTTGCAACCTGTAACATGGTATATATAGTATACAAGAGTTTTGCGTTGTTGCTGCAATGTTCAGTAACAGTCATGCAAATACAAATAAAAAGGTTGGTAAGTCCTGCAGCGTTCAGTGTTTGGGGGAGGGGGGTTGAGGTATTGTGCAGTTTGTAGCTGAGCATGGTTTAGCATGGTCTCAGCTCTGGGGTAGAAGTTGCTCCTGAGTCTGGCTGAGTGGGCCTGTGTGGACCATGTTCTGTGGGGAAAATGAGAAGATACCCCTCTCAAAATCATTCTGATCCCTTACAGGACACCCCCTGGCATCACTGTGCAGGGACGTGGTCCTGAGCATGTGGGTGTATATTTCTCTTTACTGTTAGAAGGCTGAATGACCCAGGATCCAAGACTGCCTGTCGGAGTTTAGCGATGATTATGCAGGGTGGTGTCACAGGGGGTCAAAGGTCACCGGGAGAGCACTATACATGGTACACAACTTAACATTTGAAACCTCAGAAGTGGCTGTTTATTCCTAGGCATAGATACAGTTGCCAGAGAGAGAAACCATGAACATCCTGAGAGGGCAGGGCCAAGCCCTCACCCACAAACCAATGTGAGATATCTCATCTGCATCTTAAAAGCCATAGGTGTCACAGCAACAGGCACTAAGAAAGTGTCAGCTGGGGTCGGTTATGAGGACCTGTCTGAGGGAAGGGCTCCTCTGTGGATTGGCCCGTCGGTGTAACCGTTAACCGGTGTAGCTTGGAAGAACTTTTCTCACTTTGTCATTGATTGGGAGATGGTGTGCAGCTCAGTGGGCTGGGATGCTGTGTCCGTGATCATAAGGTTGTTGGTTCAAGCACCAGGGTCAGCAGAGTAATTTCACCCTGAGACCACTAAGTAGGATGCTGGTTGTTTCAGAGACTGGTTGATCCTGCTATCTTGAAAAAAAGAAGAAGAAGAAAATATATATATATATATATATTCACTTTGGGTTAAAGCTTTAATAAATTAAATGTAAAAGGGGTAAATTCATTAGAAAGCTAAATAAATTAAAATTATCAGGGGCCAGTTTCAGAAAACAGGATTTCTTGCTGAGCTGGATAACTTGTCAGATTTCAAGTATATAGTGAGGTAAATGTAAGTGAACAAAGAAAAAGACCATTTAGTAAGTTATCTGTGTTAACGATAGTTCTTGCTTTCTGAAACAAGCCCATGGTCATACAATATGGGGGGATTGTAACCCCGCAGTAATTAACCCTATGGATTGCACCTGGGGTTCATGTTGAACAGGTCATTTGTTGCCTCTTTGGGATAATTACCTTATAACTTCAGATGTAAAAGTCAGAGACACATGCCTGATACCTAAAATCAAAGCTGACCCCTTTACAATTAATTGTAGGAAGTTGAATAGCTGAAATGAATAACCTGTGTATAATTTATGGACAAGCGAATATAACAAACACAGCTCGAAAAACACAAAAACCTATCTTTGTGTTTTGGAATTTTGTAAATACAGTCGTCCCTCACTCATCGCGGTTAATCCGTTCCAGACCCTACCGCGTTAAATGAATTTCCACAAAGTAGGATTCTTTATTATTTGGCTGTACCTGGAGTTGAAGGATTTGCGGGGGTGCTCAAATACATTGGCCTACAGTCCACACGTACAGTAATTTTAATTTTAATTGTAATACAGAGGTGTATAATTGACTCAGACAACCATTTTCACTGTCTATCAACTTTTTAATGAATAAATGTATTTGAGTGAAGCCGCGAAAGTCGAAGCGTGAAATGACGAGGGACAACTGTATTTCAAAAACTACATGATGGATTATTAAACATGTGGTTCTCAAACTTGTTTTCTACATCTGTGCCCAATTTCATATCATTTGATGGAGGCCAACAGGTTTTACGGAGGAAAGAGCAAATGGTGCAACTAGGAGCCAATCCATCTAAAACCTAACCTAAACTAATCTGAAACCTATCCAAAATGGCTGCAGTGTAACTAGCAGTGTTTTTGGGATAGCCTCTTTCTTTCTAAATACATTACCACTTATGGGTCATAAGAAACATTTTGTCACACAACATCACCACACATTTGGAGAAAAATCTATATTTTAGTCATACGACTTGTGCCAAACCTGTCAAAAACAGCTCATAAGAAAAATGCTGCCTCAGCGTGCACTGCCCCTCCCTCTATGTGTGTTTCTGCAAAACAGATTCGATCTGCAACTATGCAGAATGGCACATTGCATACTAAGCATTTGTAAATTGTCTTATTGCTTAGCTTCTTGGCGCGGCAAGTGCACACGGTACTTCCTGCCCTGTGTGGCCTTCAGCCTGGAGTCCACAGCAGAAGTGTCAGTGGTACCACTGGGACGCACATCTGCTTCTGTGGCTCTGTGGTTCGTGTCCTGCTGGGCCCTGCTGGGCCCCCTCCTCAGTGTGTCCACAGGCAGACAGCTGCTCACACAGAATCTCCCGAAAGCGTTTCTGTGTGAGGCCTCTGCCTCTTCTCCCTGGCGATGGCTGTATGGATGATGAAGCTGTTCACCGCCGCAATATCCAGGAAGTGGCAGAAGAACTTCTTATACCACTTTGTAGTCTTCTTTGACACAGTGTAGTGCTTGATGAACGTGTCAGATGGCCCTGGACCTCCCTAAATGGGGGGGGGGGGACCTTAACCTCCCAATGTTCAACCCAAAGTTACGCCCCTGAATAGGTCCCAGAAAGTACTGGTGACCTAAGTCACTTCATACTAAAGAGCAGTAGAGACAGGCCAGGGCATAGATTTGGGTACGGGCAGTAGGGACACGTCCTTTACCAATATTGTGGGAGTGCCATGTGTTGGGGGGGGAGGGGGGGGTAGTTTGGGGTTGTTTGGCCCCTACCAATGTTGAAATTGAACATATGCCCTTGAAGATAGAGGTGCAGTTTGCCTTACAGTCAGCAACTGTATTACCGCGTTATGATGGTGCCACATAACCTCAGCATTAAACAAAATCGCAGTGCTAAAACTGGAAATACAAACATGATAATGGCACCTTCCACCTTTACAGAAAGGTGATGAGTTTTTCCACACAGGGAAATAGGGACGCCATTATCTAATCTGACTCCATTTAGATCATAAAAACATCATGGACTTTAGTTCAGCAAATGGAGCATAAAATTTAAGTAACAGTGCAGCAAATCATGAATTATGAAAATTACTGGAAATGATTTGACACCATAATAGACTTAAGATGGGAGTACTGTGGAAGAAAAATGCAAAAGACAAAAAGGAAAGACAGCAGGGATGGTAAATGGGAGACTGTCATCCAGTGGTTAATGCTGTCCTGACGTAATTAACAACTTCCTGTTGAATGAATAAGAATTCACAGGCAATTATCCTGTACAGTTCAAAAGCAACTTTGCTACCTTAGCTGGATAACTGGATAACCCCCACCTGAATTCCAGACAGTGTCAATCTTCACAACTGGATCCTGGTGGGAGTATTTTATTGATCCGGTGGCTGGGGGTGGGGGTGAGGGGTTGCTTTGATCTTGGCTAGGGTGAGAGGAACATATCAGCCTCCATATAAGACCAAACGTGACCCCGGGATTGTCTGTCATAACCCTCTTGAGTGACTTTGTTTCCATAAGCTGTTGTTTCATTACAGGTCTAAAGTTCATCCTCAGATTACAACAGGTTGGATGTTCACTGAAGGCAAGACACCTCTTTTGTTTACAGTGGTTTACCAGAAGCAGATCACCATGGAAATAGTGGAACCTTTGCTTATTTTTCACTATGGTCATGTCAGCTTTGAAAGGAAGATACCCAAAGAGCCAGGACTGCTGTATCTCCAGGATTCCACACACGATGAGAGGAAGCCTTTGCCTTACACTGATAGGGTTTCCATTATCTTCCTTGTGGTTCATGAAATGGATCTGCTGGGTCCTGCTATTTAAATAATGTGTTACTTCATGACCTGGGCTGGACTGGGATTAAAAATTGACCCTGTGCCCACAGCCCCACTCTGGTGTCCCCATGATGAATTTTGCTAATTGGGGGGGGGGGGGTTCCCATGATATTGTTAAGTGATATATATTTTTTTTTTGCAGGGGGCATTGAAGCCTGTGCCTCTCAGTATAAACGCAGAATCCTATGTTTCCATGGTTTTCCATGGCCTTCTGGGTAATTTTATCATGGGAGGAATGTCCTCAGCTGCTTTTCCTATCCATTACCTTGTTTTTTTAATGCTTTTATTCCACGCCTTTGATCTATGTGGGGTCTAATGAAGGTCTTTTTCTTTTAAACAGAAAAACAATGTGTGTTAAATTCATCCAAATAGGAGAGTGTTTAGGAAAATGCTTCAGAATACAGGGGTTTGTTTTCCAGATGTTCCGCAAGCTAGAATTTGCACTACTGCGCAGCCCGTTTGTGTCTTTGGAAAAGCACCACAAGAGGGCACAAGTGTAACCACAGCCCAGTCCAGGATACTGTGTTTGGGAAAATTGATGAACAGATGGAGAGGTGGCTCAGTGCTTAACACTGATGAGAATCCCGCCTACATGCTGTGTGTGTAGTTTGCATGCTCTCCCTGTGTCATGTGAGTTTCCTCCGGTGGTCCAAAGAAACTAATAGACATCTCTAAATTGCCCTAGTGTGTGAATTTTTGTGTGTGTATGTATCCTATGATGGACTGGCATCCTATCCAAGCTGTTCCCCAGCCTGGTGCCCTATGCTGTCTGGAATAGGCTTCTGGCTCTAACCCTGTCCAGGATAAGTGATTCTAGGAAAAAATTAATGTCAGATAAGAAGTGAATGTTCTGGTCACGTTTGCCTGTCCTTACACTAATCATGCCCCTGTTTTGTTCCACACTTATATAGCAAAAAGAATAGAGCTTAATAATTAGTCCGAATATAATTGTAATCATATGTAGCATGTCACTGTATGTGCTCCTTAATTTAAACTTTGTGCCTTAATTCTGTACTTCTAATCTGTGTTTTTGTGTTTCTTTGTTTTTAGCAGAAGGGCATGTAGAGTAAGACTTTCATTGCATAGTGGACCTGACTGTTTACGGTGCATAATCTTGAAAAAGAATATATTCTGTACAATGCAAAGGATGTGATTAAGAAGTTGTGGGTTAAAAATAATATTTAATGTGCAGTGAAGAGTGTATTTCTAGGGAGGAGGGAGCCGCTACCCCCATGTCCTGTGAAGATCACACCGTCAGTCTCGACTCAGCTGTGCAGACAGTACAAGGCAATGACTACCATGGATTTACCAGTATTACTACAAATAAGACGCTGTTATGGTTCACTCCTGCAGCCTGATTAACGGGAATAGCTCAATACAGCTCCTGCTGTGACTGAGGAGACTTTGTTTAGAGTTATCAGGGGTGTGGATTACACCTATACTTTGTGTGAAGCATGTCCCATGTTTGGGCACAAAGAGACGGAAGGGATGGGCCTCCACCGTGCCCTGCAGTGCTGAATTCTTCCGTACCTTTAATTACACTGGAGAGTGACTCAACACTGATTACAGAGCCGAATGACAATATGGATGACTAATCCATACAGGGCCACACACCTGGTAGCACGCGCTTGTGGTGTCTGATACAGAGATCCAAAGCTAGGTATTTTATGCTAAGTCTATGGCTCAAAGGTACAACAGCAATGACCCTCTTGGATCTGAGCTTGCGACCTTCGGGTTAAGAGCCTTTGGCCTTTACCACTGTGCGGTCAGCTTCCACACCGCATCATAAAGCACAATCCCTCTAGTTTTAAGTCAGAATCTAAGGAGTGGTTAAAAAAAGGGAGAGGAGTATAGCTTAGCGGGTTGGGTGTGTGCCTGTGATCAAACAAGCACCAATCAGTTTGAATCCCATGGTCAGTGAGGTGATGTCATCATTGGGCCCCTGAGCCCAGTTTCTTCAGATACTGATCGAACGTGCTTTCTCAAAAAAATGTATGTGGCTTTGGATAAAGGTATCTGCTAATGGGTTCAGTGGAAAGCTTGTGTGTTTTTACAGAAAGGACCTTCCTTTCATCAACAACCCAGTAATCCTAGACAGCCTAACTGCATTTTCAGCTTTTTCCATTTTTTTTTTAACTTTCTTTGCAGATGGATTTCGGAATAAGGTGTCAGGAATCTGGCAGACTGCTCCAGCATGGAAAAAAATAAACACTTTTGGAGGATCGGCAGACAGGACCGCCATCTGCGCAGGCGCTGGGTAGCCGGTCTGTTCCTGGATGCAGCAGGAACAGTTTGGCCCAGAAGGAGGGAACAAAGAAAACATTCCAGACCTGAAGTACACAAACACGGATTCCAGGCACAGCTGGAATAAAGTGATCGTGGGGCACAATACGGAGCTAATGCCCGTTCCTTTAAATATGCGAATTCCAAAAATGGATATTCTGCTGGATCTGTGACTATCCTATGTGGCCGATGGCAGTGCACACAGAAATGTAATAATTTGCAGTTTAGTGGGTGTGACTAAGTGGGTGGCGGGGTTAGTGAAACTTTAACTAAGTTCACGGCCTGGTTTAAGCATCTTTCCCTGAGCAGGAGGGAATCAGCAATCAGACCCGGAACCTGGACTACCATCCTGGAATGGTCACCTTCTGCCCTCTAAGAAACAAGCACAGGAAATCAGGTTCCGTGATCCTTACTGAGAATAATCAACAAAGGTGGTCATCCACCAAACCCTAAAACAATACAGAACACAAAGAAACTTTATCTTAATCTCTGACTTCAATCTCTCCATACTACTGCTTAACTTCAGAGGTGTGCTTTTGCCTTGACATACCTGTTTCAAAGCTTCTCAGAAACACAAATATGATTAACAAAACGGCGCATGTGATTTTCACAAGGAAATACATGGGCTGGGTGTAGTCACTTAAATTAGGGCTGAAATTCGGAAGGATTAAAGCAGATAATTTCATAATTGAAGCAGCTATTTCCTTGCAGAATAAACTGGAGAAGGAGCAGAGAGTGTGTGTGTGTGATCTGAAAAGCATGTCTTCCAGATAAACAAAGGGAGGCATGACCAGTAGCTCTCTTCTTAAACAATAGGTCACAAAGCTTGCCATTAAGATCCGGCCGATCACAAGTGACCCTCCAAACACAATCGGTCCATTGAACATTCAGCCAGACTCACAAGGCTGACGTTCTGGAGGGTGTGTCATGGCCCGAGAGAAGACCAGCTGTAACAAAGTCTGAATTAGCTCTTTCTGAAGATCTACTGTCTCAAAAAAGGATGTTGAGTAGTGACACACATCTCGCGGCCCCCTGCCATGCCCCTCGACAGCAGCAGCATTGTTTATTTTTAAACTTAGGTAAACGCAGATATGTGCATTTTACTTTGCAAGACGCTTCTATCCAATGCAATGCACATTTTTTGTAAAGTAGGGTCAAATAGTCCCTGAAGCAATTTGGGGGTTAAGGGTCTTGCTCAGGGGACCAGTGGTAAAATCATTCTCCCAGCCTTGGGATTCGAACCAGCAACATTCTGATCAGGGGCACAGCATTTTAACCCGCTAACAAATATTGCCAGGGAATCTGTTTCATGTCTTTCTCTTTTGTTTTTATAGACACATTTCCAGAACAGTGAGTTACACTATCCCCTCACACCATAAGGATTAGGGTTTGAATCTCACCCTGTGTGTATGTGGAGTTTCTGTGTTGTTCCTGTTTTGTCCTGGTTTCTGTTTACTCTGGATACAGTGGTACCTCGACCCATGAACAAATCGAGTTACAAACCAGATGTTCGAAAAGTTTTTGTACTGGTTCGCAAACCGTGTTTCAGGCGGTGAACACACAAACATCCCTCAAGAGCGCCCCAAAGAATCACCCGAAACATGAGGAAGTGTACATCATGCCCAAGAACAGTTATGGAATGTGTAAAAAAAAAACTTGTTGTAGATGTTGTGTATGTCTTTACTATATCTCTTAAGAGGTCGACATAGGTGGAGATTTCAGGTCCAGAGAGTACAAATCCAGACCAGGATTTTGTTTCAACCAACCAGTTGAGTATAAAGAGTCACAGTCACAGAGTACTCAACTGGTTGGTTGAAACAAAATCCTGGTTTGGATTTGTACTCTCTGGACTTGAAATCGCCACCTCTGGAGGTCGAATAACTGAAAAAAGAAAGAGAGAGAGAGAACGTTCTGTTATAGCGATACCTTTCAGTGATTGATAAACATGTTTGTGATGGTTTTTAACAGTCACATATCTATACATAAAATTAAAATACTTCATTAATAACATAAATTAAGTAACTCCTATGTAAGTGTTATATTCTCCATTCACACATAGTGGCAACTGCCTATTGTTTGTTTATAGTACAAACAAAGAAGTTCATCGCCATACAACGCGTCACATCACGAAATGTACATAAAAATTTTAGACATATGAAAATAATGTACAGTATGATAAAAAAAAACACATTTTTGAGATTACTGTATTGTTTTTGACTGTTACCCAGTCTTTTAATGTTATTGTTTAGTTTTTTGGGGGGATGTTCTGTGGTTCTTTTCCGTGTTTTGGCGTCTTTCGAGCGACCAGCCCGCCAACAAGCATATGCTCAGTTGTACTGTTTTATTTAATTTGGCGGACAGTGACTGACAAAGAAATGACCAAGTGGAAAAACGTTTTGAGATGAACATCATGCGAGGAATCCATTGTAAACTAAAGCGCATCTGCGAATCTGTAAAAGGGAATTATTCCCACTGTATGGTAAAAATGTACCTGCGAGAAAAGCCGCAGCGGGCAATCCTCTGTCAGCCGGAAGAGGTGGTCAGATGGTCAAAAACAAGAGTATTAACCCGCTCTGTCGGGGTACATCCATTACCGGATTACTGCGGATTCTTGCAATCACCCAGCCTTACGTTTGGTCGCCTTTTCCTAAGCGCAGCATTTCACAATCACCCCCGGTACCGAGAAAACCCAGAGAGAACTACGCGGCCAGCGGCTCGGAAGCGGGCCGGGCACAATGACGCGTTCCGGGGCGGGAACACCAGCTCGCTTCTAGCTGTAGGGCGCTCCGCTTAGGGCTTGTTGAGGTACCGGGACGTATTTCTGCGTGTGGAAACAGCTGGAGAGGTCTTTCCGGACGCGTTTTTTTATTTCATTGTTACTTGGTGTATAATATTACTTCACTTTGTTCTTTTTTGGATACGGAGAAAATGGTTTAAAGGACTACTTGAAACTTTTTTTCTGTTTCTAACCTACTAATTAATAAACAATCTGAATTTGCTGACGGAAAGGGGAGTTTGGAAGAACGGGACTCGGGGTGTCGGAGCGACGCATATGAAGACGCTCGTCGTGGGACATTTCACAAGGTTATCCGCGGATCATGCTAAACCGTTGCGGTTCCGGCGCCTTTGTTATACCCACAAACGTTGACAATCACCGTCTGGTTTCATTGTAAGGTTTTAAAATGATGTATTTAGTTATTTTCTTAGTTCGCCCCTCCCGGCTCTCCGGATCTGCTCGCTTTCCAGCTAGTAGCCGCAGGGGCAGGAATGCGGTCGGGATATTTCTGGGTGGGGATGGGCGGTGTGAGTGTGTAACTAATTCACCCACCCGGGGTGTGTTTTATTAAGTATTATTAGTTTGTTCCGTTGTGCTTGATCGTCATTAGATGTTGTGTTTAGCGCAGTGTGTTGAGGCTTTCGGTTGTGTAAAATGTCGGCTTGACCGCCGAAGATCCCACCCTGGATGCATCGGGCAGGCCTGGCTAGGGTAGGGTAGGGTAGGGTGGGGGAAGGGGGGTGATTTATTCGCATTTACAGTGTGTGTAAATGCCTCTGGTTTCTGTGCGGATCAGCGATTGCTTTGCTGCTCGAGTTAAACTGTTACTTTGTCGCTTAGTTGTTATGTTAAACTTTACTTACCCCCGGGTATATCTCTAGCTTTTGTTTTTTGGGGTTGTTTGAGTTTTGTCTGGCTTTTTGTGCCGTGTGCCTCGGTCGGTAATATAACGTCTAACGGGCTTTAAATTGAATGCTATAACCTCGTTTTGACACGTTACTTTGAAGGGAGGGGGCCAGCAAATCTGACTTTAATTATGCCGATTCGTTTTCAAACCCGGTTTAGATCGGCCGATTGGAACACGATCTGTAGTGTTTAATGCCCTAACGCGCCTTACATAAGAACATAAGAAATTTACAAACTTATTCTTTAATTCCTTTTGCATTTATCCCAAAACACGTGTGCTCAGTGCACCCTTATTTCAATCCCGATCTGCCCTTTACCCCTTCAGGAGATCATGTAGCTCCTGTGCTTCAAACGCTACTGTAGTAAACTAACGCGACTGACTTGCTTTATAAGTGTAACTGAAAGTTATCCCATGTGCTACTAGTATAAATAGCCGGATTACCTTCTCCATTTGCAGTGCCTGTGTCGGTGGGGCACGATGCTTATCGTATGAATAAAACACCACTAGAATTCGTTTAAGTAGATATTTTTTGGCAGCAGAGTTGGTTTGTTGGTTGGTGATAAGCTGGTAACTGTTGCAGCTGTTAAACACCAAGATCTACTGCTTTCAGTGAGATTTTGCTATCAGGAAGGTCGGTTTTATTTGCTGTTTGCCTGAAAGAATAAAACACACACACACACACACACACTGATTATTCAAGTGTCAGTGATTTTCTCAGTGTGGAGCCCGAGGCTTATGGCAGTTCCGTCTGTGTGACTGAAAGTCCTTGATCATCTCCTACTTGGGATTTTTAATTCACAAGCCGGCATGTTTTGGGAATTTGCTGCTGCTTTTTCCAGCTAATCACTAAAACTCCGACTTGTCCGGACACTTCCAACCATCCCATGAGTGATTAGCTGGCGTGTTACGGTCAAGGATTTGTAACATAAACTTGCTTGTTTAGCTGCTTTCAGGAGCTCTCTGACTGTACCACTAAATAAGAAACTTAACCGAGCTCGTCCCGATTTTTTTTTTTTATTTATAATTGGACCACATCAAATAGTTGTGGGGTTTTTTTTGTGTCTATTTGTTCATACTTTCAATGAGTCTCATTTGTTAGGAAAGTCACACCTCAAAAGCAATGATAATCTTTTTTTTTTTTTTTTTTTTTTTTTTAAAGGCTGAGAACAGCTGTGGGATGACGTTCTCATGAAGTGTGTGGTCAGAGCTGTTACAGAAAAGGCTGTATGGGTGCCTGCTGGGTGCACTAGCTAACCAGAACACAAACCGTAGGGTAGCTGTATTTAGCTCGCTGACAGAGATGTTCCTTTAGTTAATCTTTGCCTTGGCTGATTTAGACTAATGTAGTTGTACAGTATTCCTTTATGACAGCCTTGCCTGCATAACATCCTTGCTGGTCTGTATGTCCTGACTGATACCCACCAGTGAGTTTATGCGCCTTTACTGGCTCTGTTGTCTGTCATGGGCTCCCGCACAACTGCAGTCTTTTCACCACAGTAACCTGTTGTGTCTTGAAGTCGCTTTCTGTTATGCATCGAAGTGGCCAACAGGTGGCGTAGTGATTAACGATGTGGTCTTGCAACTGAAAGGTTTTGTGTTTGAGTCCCATTGGGCCAGAGAGTCTAAGTGTAAATAAAGCTTGTCTCACGGGATTTGTTGCCCCCTCCTTAAGAGATTGCCTGTCCGCAGTTGATGTTTGTGCCATGCATATTGAATTGGTAATCAGTTATGACGTGTGATCAGCAAACGAAGGACGGACACTGTCCCATGTGCCCAGACACTCAGTCCCCCCTCCCTGAAAGGCTTTAATTAAGGAAGTGCTGTTCTAAGAGAGGAGGGAAGGGAGGGGTGAGTCATAAATGAAGAACTGTGCTGTGACCTCAGGCTTTGGATAGCAGCTCTTTGGGGGGGGGGGAGGTGCGCTTTACAGCTAGAGAGACAGCATCCCGTTGCTGATTTTCCCCTGCAGAGGAAGCGACAGACCCATTGCGACATGGTCACCAGGCCAAAGGGCTGGGAAAAGCATGTTTCCTGTTAGTGGCTATGCAGAAGTGGGGTCTGTCTTCTGCAGATGGCCCCCCACCCAAGACGTAGTTAACACCAGGTCCAGAGATCGACGCTAAACAGGAGCCACGAAAAACTCAAACCCTCACACTGCTTAGATGTGGCTTCTTGGAGTAAGTTCTGTGGCATCCAACATTAAATCCAAGTGGGATCTTTCTTACTGAGCCACATTAACTGGTCCGGTCATGTGGGCTTTTATTTGTTTTTGCCCGTTGCCCCGTGACTTTCAGTGTGTTTGGGGTGGTCCATCATTTAAAAGTATAATGATAGTTAGTCATAATGTCAGGCAAGCTATAGGCTGGAGTGGTTTATCTATTATCCAATGACTAATGCAGTATTAGATTTTTTCCTGAAGCAGAGTATGAATTCAGATGAGGCTCGTTAGTTCTACGATTCTAAAATAAAGACTTTTTTTCATTTTTCTTGCTTTCTCATGCTATTTTGGCTGGTGTCCTCTTACGCTTGTGGTCATCCAGCATGGAGAGCTTTCTGTACCTTAATCTTGCTCCATATTTGTTCAAAAATGTGGGCTTAGGCGGGGGCCAGTGCATGTCTGTGCTGATAAGTGTTACCAGGCTCCTGCTGGTGAACGTTGGAGGAACCGCATGTCTGGGGCTCTGACAAGCTGCTTCACTAGGTTTGAAACCTTTGGCCACATCTTCTGGCACATTCCCTGTTTTCCCGATCAGAAAGGTGTCCTTTCCTCTAGCGCACCGCCCATGGACCACTGACGTCTAAGATGGCAGTAGATGGCCTGAAATGGTCGTGTTTTGGGTAGCAGCCGGTCAGCGTGATCTTCAGGGGTCTGATCGACCCAGCTGCTTTTTATAGAGGCTGTCTGGGTCTGGTTCTGGAGCTGCCAGCTTTATTTGGGCTTGGTCAGAACTGGGGTGATTTTACCTAATCATTAATTTTCCTTTTTTGCTGGTTCGATGAGAGACGCACTTGATGTACAGTATTGATGCATGAAATCGAGGTCTGTGCAATATGAGATGCTAGCTGCAAAAAGGGTCCTGATGCTGCACGGTTGCATTGATTTATTTTTTTTTTGTTGCATTTTGTGTCCCTTTTCCTAAGATGAATTTTCCTGAAATGATTGTTCTTAGAGGTTGCTGCGTCCTTTACAGTTTCTGCAGATCCCTGCATTGGCAAGTCATGGCAGTGAAGTAAATGCCTAAAGGATGATTTAATGCTGGTTCGTACTTCTCCGCACAAGCGCAACATTCGCGTATCCACTCTGCATATGCAGACACGGAAACGTTCATAGTTCTCCAGTCAAACTGCATACTTTGCACATGCGCACATGTTGTATTTATATTTTAAAAATAACAATAGAAATTTATTATTCTGATATTCCCTGCACACGTTCTACAGCAATGAGGTTTGTGTCCATTTCTCTGTGTTTTACAAATTCAGAGTGCCAACTCGCACAGTTGCCAACTTTGGTCAGCCGGCTGGCATAAGACTTTCAATTCGAGACAAGTCTGCACACACATACAAACGAATTTACATGTATGTAACAGTTTTATTACCTTGTAGATAGTCTGTAGGGTTTGCAATGTACCCCAACGCTCGTCAAAAGCATCCGTGGTATTTAAAGTGGACACTAGTGAATCGATCATGCGCAGTGTGTCCAGAGTTGCACATACATCTGTCCTCTCCCTTAGTCGTCATAATTTGTGGGGTTTTTTTGAGTCAGGTAGAACCTGTGATGTTAGGGGGAAGATGGCTGAGGACTGGCTGCGCGTTTCCTCCCCCCTTTCACATGTCCAGTATATTTCTAGCTCTTTCCGGGGGAGCTGTGGCTAGGCAGTCGTCTCGGGTCACTGGTCGCAGACTGAACTAGTGGTCTACTCCAGATGATGGTGATGGCCTCAGAGCGCTGTTTGGTCTGCTCCTGGTGTTTGCTTGAGTTATAGTGTGAGGGTGGATTATTTGGGTTTACTACCTTCTCGCTTGTCATCTTTTGCGCATCAGAGCAAAAACGAGACCCTTCTCAAAGTGCTTGCTTTTGGGACTAAAATTGTTTTGGTCTGTTAACCTAGTACAAGGGACCAAAATTTTATCTGTAGCTATCATGATGACCATTCTTTGTTATGGATGCTTCCATTTTTGCATTTTTGGTTGTGGTAGGCAGTGATGATAGCAGGGCTGCCCTGACTCGGACCTGCTTCCATGCTTTTTTCCTGCACTGTGAGCAGTTTCGAGGTGTGCTAAATCCTGAAAGCCACCTGGAAGCCTGATTTGGAGGCTCGCTGAGAGGCGCTGGCTGACCCGATCCCAAATGGCGTCAGCTCAGCACATGCCAAGGTTCAGACTTGGGACTCAGCCCGCATCTGGCAAGATTTTTCGATTTCCCCCCGATTTTATTCGGAGCAGCCGTCTACCTTGAAAGGCAATTCTGGTTATCGCTAACGTTCCAGTCCGAAATGTCGGACAACCTGGAATGCATCCCTGAGAGAACTACTGAGAGGTCAGGGTGGGGTCAGGAGATCACTACCCTTTTTAGCATCAAAGGTGTGACTGTATGTTTATACTCAAGGTCTGTTTTGAACGTTCATGAGTGGTTTTGACACACCAACATGCCCTCAGTCAAGCCAAAGTAAACAAGGCATAGGTCATATGTAGAAACACCTTTAAAGTAATTCAAATTTTTCTACTCGGGGTTGTTTTTTTTCCAGGGTTTGCAAGATAAGCATGTTAGTCTGTTTATGTAATTTATGAAGGCTGTGGTCTTGCCTATGTTCACTTTTAAATCACTCGGCGTTCAGTGATGGGTTGAGCACCATAGAAATTCTAGGGGGCTTCAGTATGTGACCTACAGAAGCATACGCTTAAAAGTATAGTTTTAAAAGCAAGATTTAAAGGGAATCTGATTTGTCGCTCTCACTGTCTTTTGTGGCACCTCAGGCAGAAGGATCAGCACTAAGCATAAGTATGGCTCAGGGCGTAACACAGACAGCTAGGCGTTGGCCATGTGAGAGAGGCGGATCTGAGCAATGGGAGGTTTCTGTGGTGGTATGGTTCAGCAGAGCTTCTAGGATGGGACTCTGATATGCTACAGCTGATGTCTTCAAAGTCTACAAACACTACTGTGTGTGGCTGCCACGGCGGGACGGAGAAGGTTCTGGCTTTTGCTGAGATCACACTTGCTAAGTAGAGGTTTATCGTTCAGTCACATGCAGGCGGTGTAATCCTAGTTGATGAGTAAATGGAAAAAGCAGGCTGAAATGTATGCTTCCTTCAATCCCAGCTTGCTGTGGGATGCGCTCGGGGTGATCTTGGGACGCTCGGAGCAAATCAGATGTCTTCTCGCCGCTCTGTCTGTTGGATAGTGCCGTCTCTGTTCGGCGCCAACTTGTAGGTGTCACAGCCGGCCACTCTCATTCTGAAAGCACATTGTGTAGTGGTTGGCGGAGGAGGGGGGGGGAATAATGAACAGGAACTCTTGTGTGGGTGGAGATTGTGATCTACCAGGAGTGTAGTTGGGGGAGGTGGCATTGAGCGTTCAGAGCTTTTGCTGGAGGAGTTCCAGTTCTACAGTAAAAAAAAAAAAAAAAGGCTCTCTCTCTTTTGTCTGGCGCATGTGTGATCCGATGAAGCTTCCTCTTCCCCAGCATATGACAGAAGGCTTCTGTCTTGGCCTATAGCCCTTCTTTTTTGTGAGGAACACCTGGACTTGGGTCCAGTCCGGTGTTATCAGACTTCAAAGTCTGTATAAACAGATGATTCGAGTCATAATCATGGCCTGTAAACCTGAGGCAGAAGCTACCCGCACTTCTCCCTAGAGTGAGAACAGGCCCCAGCACCACATTCTTCATGACTGTCGGCGCAAGGCAGATTTAGAGATGCAGTCTGTCCCAGTTGTGCGTCTTGGAGGAAGTTGGCTGTCGGGGGAGCATGTAGGAAGGGGGAGGGTGGGGGCTGGAGTGGAGGATTTCAGGAGCTGGGATGGCAACGGCAGCTTGACCAAATATGGCTGTAGACAATCCCAGCTCCCAATCCGACACTTGGGCTGTAGTGCAGAGCGCAGCTCGGCGAGGATTCAGTCGTTCAGGAATGTCAGGACTGTTCAGGCCTGATTTAGGCTTGCATCTTTGGCCCCGCCCCCATGAGTCAAGTTCCGGACACTCATTACAAGAGAGCTAACCAGTCAGCTGCTAGTCACAGCTTATTGAAGCGTTGGATGTCGACCCTTTGCTATATAAACAAACAGCGGTGTTTCCTGCCATTTGAGTCAGTCCTTACCGGGTCACTGGCTTGATAATATGGGCCAGGCCCTAGATTGTAAGTGGACTATAATTGGAGATGAGCAAGGAATTTCAACATAAATTGAAAGATCCATCTGAAGAAGAGCAAAGGGGCAGTTGTAAATTACCCACCCCCCCCAGCCGCTGAATGTGAAGGTGCTAGATCATGGAAGAAAAGCTGATGTAGTTAAAGGATTCAGGCAGTTTGGCGTGGGGGTGAAAGTCACCACATTGAGCAAAATCCCAATTGTTTGATTTCTGAAAATGCTGTAGCCGTCTTTCTTGTTTACCGGAGACTCTGCAGATGATTCGTACTTGACATGTAAACAGTAACTGGTACTCCTGATGGCCTCTGGCTTTTCACCACAAATCCTTAGTTCTCTGAACAGTCATAAGATTAAGGCATACGACTTTCTGGGATTTGTTAGTTAAGCCCCATCCATGCGACCAGAAGCTTTTTTTCATTCCCCAACAAAGTAAAACAGCTGTTTTTCTGAAGGCTCCCGTCTCTTGAAAAACAAGGAATGGCATGAAATGGTCCAGTTCTGGTGGAATTTTGGCGTTCTTTGCTGACGTAGCTGGTTATATTTAGCTAGTGGGCTTCAGATATCAAAGAAGTCCTGTACCTCCATCACATGACCTAGTACTTATGTTGATAGTTCTGGCAAATGACAAGTTGTTGACATTATAGTCAATGGGATATTAATGTTACCCGGGTCTGTTTTTGGTCTCTGGTGTCAGCCTGTATGGCCACATGGAGCTCTACCTGCCTTGTTTTCAGAATCTTTTAGTTTCTAAAAATGTTTTTGAAAGCCGGTGTACCAATAAGGGCCTGGTCACATTATTAAGGAGAATCCTGACTCAATGCTCCTCTGTTTTTGCTTGCTCTTTGAGCACCATCAGTTGCAGATTTACGTAACATCACAGCCTTTTATCTTGAAGCGCTTAGCCTCTCGGTAAATTGGTTGCAAGTTCTAACGAGCATCCCAGTAAAGAAAATTCCAGTGGAGTTTAACAACTTTTGGCAGCATTTGGAACTGTTGTTCTTTTTCCTGCAGGCATGGGCTTCATGAAAATGGCAGCTGAGCTGCGTATGGTTTTCAGTGTGAATATGCTTAAAGTGCCACATTATGTTACATGTAAGAGATTAAGGATGAGTCGTCATTTTGAAAGACCCACTTTTTTTTTCTCTTTCAAACTCAAATGCTATGCTAATGCCGTTACCAGTGACCTCTATCGGCCAGCCTATCATGCTGCGAGTCAGAGGATGCAATCTAATCGGTGCCTTCCTCCTGATTTATCAGCTGTAGTCATGACTGAGACTCCCCTTCCTCCTGATTTATCAGCTGTAGTCATGACTGAGACTCCCCTTCCTCCTGNAGACTCCCCTTCCTCCTGATTTATCAGCTGTAGTCATGACTGAGACTCCCCTTCCTCCTGATTTATCAGCTGTAGTCATGACTGAGACTCCCCTTTCTCTCATGCACAAAGTGTTCATGCTGATGTCTACTTGCCCCCAGCCATCTTTTGCTAATTGCTCCATGTTTTCTAAACTGTTTTTTCCTCTCCTGCTGTCCATTGAATATTCCCACCAAGCTTGTAGAGCTGCCAGGTCCCCCGCTGCTGCTCCCGGTGTTTATTGGTCCTTTGGGTGAGCGCTAGGCACGTTCTAACCACAGTTAAGTGGAGGAACTGCTCCCTGCTGGGGCTGCTTCCTGTGTCGCCCCTGGAGACTGGTTCTATTTAGAGATGCGCTACCTCTGGGCGGACGGGAATGTGGCTGGAGCAGCGTCCCATTTGTTGGGTGAAACTGTCCCAATTTAGCAACCGGATATTCTCCTTTAAATACATCTTTGTGATTTTGGTCCATGATTTGAAGATGCCTTGAACCTCCCACCTCACATTGGCTTATTTTGATTTTTTCTCTCTCTGTCTCCCCCCCCCCCTTCAGGTGACACCCCACATCCCCCCCCCCCCCCCCCCCTGTGTTCTATAGATGGACCCAAAGATACTGTGTGTGCTGTTGGCAGTAGCTTGTTTCTGCAATGCCCAGCAAGGTAAGCATGTGTGTCTCTCTCTTTGGCCATTTTCACACCTGACATTAACACGCGTCTCCGCATGCGTCTTGACCGACCGCTTTTAATCGGATCTCACTTTCTAGCAACTTATTCAAATTAGCACGTCTGTATGCAGAATCTGCCGAACATTAAAAGAAGAAACAACAAAAAGCTATTTTCTCATTCCAGGGTAAACAAACCGCCTAAGATGTAAGATCTAAGATGAACATCATAATACTCAAAATGAAATAATTATATCTATGAATAAATGAATAAATATTTTGTGTCAATGTTTGTGAAAATTTCAGTGAAGAGGTTCATTGTTTTGTCTGATGTGCTGAATTATGTCTGACTTGGAGCAAGTAAAGTAAAAGAAGTGAAGTAGTCAGGGCCGGGTTTGACTGAATTTCTGACCTGGAGTTCAAGCCCCAGACAGCTCAGTATAAAACTATATCAACCAATGTTGTAGGGAAAAAGATGTGTTGTTCACAACATAGTTTAGTACATGATGGCCCATTTGGCGCCGACATATGCTCTGACCTGAATCATGTCGGATACCGTTCGCACGTTTAATGCGTATGTAGGTACGCACCAGGATGTCTGTTGAGAAGGCGGTCCTTCAGTGCGTCCCACGACGCGTTCACACTTCTATATGGATGTGGCCATATCCTTCCCAAACCACCTGCGAATGTGGTTTGAGCGAGCGGATCTGTGTGTGTTCAATCCATTTTGGGCACGTTCCACTTGTGATTGGATCACCCGAGACGCATGTTAACACTGGCAGGTGTGAGCAAGGGTCGGTCTCTCACTTGCTCGCTCACTTGCTCTCACTCTCACTCCCTCCTGTCCTTCCTCTGCTGAGTCGCTGAAACGCAGCACATGCTGTTTGTGGTGAGGACCGTGAATATCCCACACTTATATCCCACTCTCTGTTTTCAGAGGGTTTGCCCACACCATCTGATTGCACACCACCTTTATTGGGGTGATGTCACTGTTCAGGAGACCCCTCCCTCTCCAGCCTCATCCAGGATGACACAAAATGGAGGGAGTGGAATGTTCCATTCTAGGCATCCCTCACCAAGAATGTATTTTCCATTTATAGCCGGCAGCTGGTCGCCAAGACAAGTGAGATGTCTACACTGTGGCTTTCTGGGTGCATGAGAAGCTCTGTTGAATTGTACTGCTTCATTCCTCCCCTTTTCCTGCTTCGCACAGATGGAAACGAATGCATCAAGGCCAACGCAAAATCCTGCGGGGAGTGCATCCAGGTTGGGGAGAAGTGTGGCTGGTGTACAGATCCCGTAAGTACTTTTCCAAGATATTTTCACGCTCCTGAGTTTTCTCCCTGCTGGACTCCCCTTCACCATTGGCGAATTGTGCTGGAAGGACAGGATGCTTCCCATGCCTCTGTTCCAGTAGCGGCCGGTGGCCTTTCAAACCCCCCCCCGCCCCCCCAAGAATGCTATATTTATATGTATTTATATTTCTCTGCTTATTTATTTACAGTCAGATATGTAGAAATGAAAATCGAAAAAAATGAAAATGAAAAAACTTCACTTGCCAAAAATCCACATGGGAATGAACTTGAAACACTCCGATGCTGTCGTTTCGTTTCAAAAGGCTGTCAATCAAAAAGAGGTGCAGCCACTTTGACAGTTCCTCCAATCATCATGCAGCAGCCCAGAGTCCTGGCCCGCCCACTGCCCCATTCTCTCCCCGTGATGCCGAGCTTCCCTGGAAATTAAGCTTTGTAGCATTTGCCCAATAAATGTCTAGCTTTGCTGCACTGGAAGCAGAAGTGCCATTGAAGTCCGGTGAAGCTGCACTTCAGTGGGTTTTATTAGATTGTGCTGCTGTGGGAATGTAATGTATGACACATTAAAAATCACGGTACATGACCCGCAAGAAATTATTGTTGATTCTAAATGAACTCGTTCCAGCACACTCTTTGTAATAGCCATGTAAATACAGCAGGACATATTTTACAAAAATTTTCATAACATTCTAGAGGAGGTGGATCTTCCCTTCATTAAAGCAGTTGCCAGTCAGGTGGTGCATGTGGTTGTAACGAGATTTTTTTTGAGGGGGGTGGGAGGAAGCATCTACCAAATGTGCTAGGATCTTTGCGGGCTCTGTCCTCACTTCTGTGGCGCCCCGGCAGCATGCCGTCTAGCTCCCAGCAACACTCTGCATCATTTTTTTGGGGGGAGGGGGTGTCGGTGTGTCTTGGGCCTCTCAGGCCATGAACGTTTTGGAATGTGGACATCTTGTAAAGTTGGAGTTTACGACTGAAGACTGATAAACTTCTAGTCAAATGAGCCAGTAGCTTATCAGGTCTCACCTGAGACATATACCAGCATCAGAACCAGCAGTCAGTTGGGGACCTGGGCCCAGTCTAGTTGCAGGAGGGGCTGGGGTGTGCCCCTCTATTCTGGTAAATTATGGAGACGAGTGAAAGTTAGTGGAGATCGAACTCCAGAATGAGGATTACTGCATTGGCTGAAAGTGTCGTTCTTGATAAATCAGAATAATCTACCATCCCCTCTTTACTGGGTAAGCTTTTCATTTTGTACCCCCCCCCCCCCCCATTTGCAGGACTTCCTGAAGCAGGGTGAACCCACCTCGACCCGCTGTGACGAGCTTGAGTCCCTGAAAAAGAAGGGCTGCAAGGCAACCCTGATTGAGAACCCCAGGGGCAGCCAGACCGTTGACAAGAATGTTCCGGTCACTGACCGCAGCAAAGATAGCATTAAGAAACTCAGTCCTGAGGATATCACGCAGATCCAGCCACAGAAGCTAACCCTGAACCTTCGATCTGGTGAGGCTTTCCGCCGTGAGCTACTTTACGGGAAACAGTAGGCTAAGGACTTTAAGATGAAGGTCAGGTTTCTCGTGATAGCTGTGGCGGTGTTTACCAGCACTCCCACCACATACTTCCATGGGTCCCCTGTTGATCACAAGAAGTCACCACACCTGGAGGCAGAGGGCTCCAAAGTAACTTTTTGATTGTGGCATCAGAATCGACAAACCCATTATTGTCTGTTAGTTTTGGAGGAGTATTCGGTATGTGTGGGTCACTTCCTATTGCTTTCTTGAATTCTGGAACGCTTATTGTAGGTAAATAGTTACTAACTGGCAGGACTGACCTTATCTTCATTTCTGATCTTGTCATGTCAAGTTGGATTTTTTGCGGATGACTTGCCAGGTCGCTCTGTGAATGTAATGTTGTCTTGTGCAGGTGAACCCCAGTCTTTTAACCTGAAGTTCAAGAGGGCGGAAGACTATCCCATTGACCTCTACTACCTTATGGACCTCTCCTTCTCAATGAAGGATGATTTGGAGAATGTTAAAAACCTGGGAACAAGCCTAACGGTAGAGATGTCCAAGATCACTACAGATTTCAGAATTGGTAGGAGCAGTCAGACTCTGTTTTTATCTTCTTGCACGTTGCACAAACACCTGTCCTCCTCCAAGGGTGGCAAGATCATTTATCTTTCGACCTTAAGTTTAATAATTCATGCCTCTTTCCAGACAACTTGCAAAGGCAATTTAGGATGTTTTTCCTAACCATTTAACATCTTTTGTTGCTATTTACAATCTACCTGAGCCATTAGGTTGGATGTTAACCACTGCATCACTTGCTTGACCATTTGTCGTTCCTTCCCTTCAAGCGTCCCTGTCCTCTGTTATCCTTGGGTTGGCTTGCTCTCTGCACTTCAAAGGCTGACTTGTGTTGCTGACTGTCCCATGGTTGACCTGTTGTCGCATTGCAGGCTTTGGCTCCTTTGTGGAAAAGACTGTGATGCCATACATCAGCACCACGCCAGCCAAGATGCTGAACCCATGCACCGGCGACCAGAACTGCACCAGCCCCTTCAGCTACAAGAACGTGCTGAGCCTCACCAGTAATGGGCAGCGGTTCAACGACTTGGTGAGCAAGCAGCAGATCTCTGGAAACCTGGATTCCCCTGAGGGCGGCTTCGACGCCATCATGCAGGTGGCAGTCTGTGGGGTAAGTGTGGAGTAAGTGTGGAGTCCTATGCCCTTTTCACCTGCAGTAACCTCCCAATCCGGGATTGCTGTGTTGAGCACTGCCATTAGTTCTATATGTGTTAAGCTTCAGCCAAGGAGTAACTATATGATGAATACCCCCCCATGAACTCCCAGGACCGAATTGGCTGGAGGAATGTGACCCGTCTGCTGGTGTTCTCGACGGATGCCGGTTTCCACTTTGCAGGGGACGGGAAGCTGGGCGGGATCGTTTTGCCCAATGATGGGAGGTGTCACTTGGAGAACGATATGTACACCATGAGCCATTACTATGTACGTCTTCTGCATGCAGGAGGGGGAGGTTTGATGATAAAATAACATCACTACATAAGCAAGCTGCATAGTCCTGTTTTAAGGCTTGCCTGTGCCCCCGCTCTGCCCCCAGGATTACCCCTCAATCGCCCATCTGGTCCAGAAGTTGAGTGACAACAACATCCAGACCATCTTTGCCGTGACAGAGGAGTTCCAGCCCGTGTACAAGGTGACCGTGGTGTCTGTGTCTCTTCACATCTATGTGGAGATCTGAATCTTCAGTGAACCTGTAGTGCCTGGGACCCTCTTCACCCTGTTGATTCCCATCTGCCCCAGCTGGGGGTGTGTTCAAGCTATCTACAGCTATTACCTCTCGTTCATAACAGCTGCTGTGCGGCTGAAGACAGACTCTAAAACTAGACACACCGTCCCCGTCCCCCCCACCCCACTTAGCTGCTGTGCTGAAACCCACATTTAGCCTTCATAGCACCCTTGCACTCTCCCCCCACACACACAGGAGCTGAAGAACCTGATTCCGAAGTCTGCCGTGGGGACACTGTCCGCCAACTCAAGCAACGTGATCAACCTGATCATCGACGCGTACAATGTGAGTTTGGGTGTCCATGTCAGGAGAAATGTCACCCCTGGGGGGTGCACTGACTCTTCATAAGGTTCTCTATACGCCCCCCTTTCCCCACCTGCCCGCCCCTGCTGTTTAAAGTGCCATAAATCATCTTATCAGCATTAATACAGTAAGACTGTAATTTGGGGACCTACCCCGCCCCTATCCTCACACTGAAAATGTTCTGTTGGTTCACAGTCTCTGTCATCAGAGGTTATTCTGGAGAACAACAAGCTCCCTGATGGCGTGACCATCACCTACCAGTCCCACTGTAAGAACGGCGTGATCGGGGAGGGTGAGAACGGCCGCAAGTGCTCCAACATCTCCATCGGCGATGAGGTGAGGCCAATGCCGCACCCCCACCCCCGACCAGGGGCTGACTAATGCATAGGCTATGAACCTTTGTACTCGTGCAATATTTGTGTGATGCAACTATAGGTCACATGATAGCTGAGAGGTTGCCGACATTGTAAAAAGTTTTTTTGCGTATTGTGCGCACAAGATATTATCCTAAGCAAACAATAATTTAACTTGTGCGCACAATATATATTTCTTGCGTTCATAAGATAACATGAGCGCACAAGAAATTAACCAAACATGAGCAGTGGTCACAACCCTGCTCCTGAAGATCTACCTTTATTACTATTATTAATGTTGTGCGCTGAACCACAATGATATCCTTAAAGCTACTTGACATGTCTTATTTAGTTTTAATTATTAGCCCATTTATTTATTCCAATGCACATTGTATATAAAGTGTAATTAGTAATAATTATATATGGAAATAGTCTGAAAATCCAAGGGAGGGTGTGCATTGTCCCCCACAGTGAACAGCTCAAATCGATCTTTGCTACGCGTATCTGTCTCGTTTTAGAGTTATTATAACAGTTATTACACCCTTAGAGCTATGAATGGACACTCAGGGCACCTGACTAACTGAATGTGAAGTTCACATGCCAGCAGTCAAAAATTAATTAAAATTCACTTATGAAATCTGGAAATGCATGAGGTGTGCAAGAGTTGCCATTAATTGTAAATGCTTAACCAATGTCTCATTACAACAGAAATGGACTATTTTCATGGCTATTAACAATATTAAACACAAATAGTGAAAGGGCTTGAATCACAAAAATGATTAGTGTGCATCGCTGTCTGTGTACTGGACATCACAAATCTGTGGCTAACGACTGTCTGGTTTGCTTTTGTTAAAATATATTACAGATGGAAAAGTGAATATAGAATGAGGTTAACTTTATTGCGGTGTAAAAAGAATGTCTTTGACTTTCTAATGCTGTGTTCCATTTGAATTCGTAACTCATAAATTTCAAGTTCCTAGTCGGAAATTTTGACTGGATTGCCCCCTCAAGTCGGAATTGCGACTCGTGAATTTGGAGGAATCAACACCACCCCAAGCTCAGGATCCAAAATGACCGCACCCTTTATCAACTGAAGTTGTAGCTGTAGTTTTATGTTGTTTAGTAGCACTTGCGTCTTATTTGATGCTTATTAAATCAGTCGTACACAGAGCACTGTCCAACTACTGTGGACGTGTTGCTGTGGTGGGTTTTTTTTATGCGCAAAATACTGCGTAATATGTTGTTATCCACTGATATTGCTAACAATTAACTGGGCTAGAACTGGGACAGTTTCAGTAAGCAGGATTTTTTGCTTAAGCAGAACTTGTTGGATTTAAGGTAGTCTGGGTGAAATGTAAGTGAATGAAAATTAAATCAGAGTTACCCGGGTAAGCAAAAAATCTTGCTCTATAGCCCAGGGTCCCACCCAGCCTTGTGAAAGATGGAACAGTTAGTTAAATCGGCAACCCCTGAGTGTCCATCCAGATGTCAGCCAAGGGCCCAAGATAAGTTAATATGCTCCTAGTCTCCCCCGCCCCCCACACACATCCTCCTCAGTGTTTCCCCTAGGTTTATAGCTTTGGGGGGGGGCAGATAGACACCGACAGGATTCATGGAGTTCATGTTTCATTTAATGACAGCAGTAAAAAAAAAAAAAACGCAGATATTTTTTCTCACATGCGCGTGCATCGGGGCGGAACTCCGCCATGCGCGATACAGAGAACAGAGGAGAATTGTAAACACGTGACGGTGAAGACAAAAATGACAAGCTGTTGTGTAAATAAGATAAATAAGGCTATTTAGTTTGTTTAATAAAAGGACAATGTATAGACCTGTTCTGTTCTATAGGAAAGGTAGCCTTAAATGACTTCTGTTGTGATCTGGCGCTATATAGAAAATAAAATTACTAGACCTTCAACAGGGGCAGGGTGCCCCCCTAATATAACGGTAGGGGAAACACTGCTCCTTATCCGCCCCTTGCTTGGTGTCAGAGTTGAGGTTTTCACACCTACTGGGTCCCTTGAGTCCCTCGGGCTGATGTGTTGCATTTCAGTGAAACAGTTTCCTGAATGCACACTCAGCAAGCGGTCCGCTGCACCTGCCGTGCTCCTGTATGCACCCTGCATTCTGTTTCATGCAAATCAGGCAGGACACCGAAATGAGAAGGTTGCGTGTCCTCCCCCAGGTGTCCTTCAACATCAGCATCACGGCACACAAATGTCCCAAGCAAGGCAAGGCGGAAACCATCAAGATCAAGCCGCTGGGCTTCACCGAGGAGGTGGAGATTGTCCTCAGGTTTATCTGCGAGTGCGAATGCCACAAAACCGGAGTGCCCAAGAGTCCCCTGTGTCACAACGGCAACGGGACCTTCGAGTGCGGGGCCTGCAGGTACAGTGCCACAGGAAGTCACCACATTGGCTTCCTCAAGCTCCACTAGCATTGGGTTAGCGCCTGATGTAACACCCTAGGTCTGGTGATCACAGGGGGGTCCAGCAGCACAACTTGGGAACTGGGCATGGTGTCCTGATGTAGTCATGGGTCCAAGCAGACCTATTCCAGCCCAAGGCGTATGTGAACTAAGCGACCACCAGGACCTCCACCATCTGATCAACCTGTCTGATTGGGCAGGAAGATGATAAATGACAGCTAGGTTCATCAGAATTTGCTTAGGGTCCTGAAAAGGGTTGGTCCTACCCTGGTCTCAAGTGTTTCAATATCGCCGTCCCCCACCCATCCCACCCCCCCAGGTGTAACGAGGGCCGCATCGGCCGGCAATGTGAGTGCAGCACAGAGGAGGTGAACAGCGATGACCTCGATGCCAACTGTCGCCGTGACAACGGCACGGACATCTGCAGCAACAACGGTGACTGCATCTGCGGCACATGCGAGTGCAAGAAGCGGGAGAACCCGGAGGAGCGCTACACTGGGAAGTTCTGCGAGTGCGACAACTTCAACTGCGACCGCTCCAACAACAAGCTGTGCGGAGGTGGGTCCCGGGGCCCGTCCAGGAGCACTCTGCCCTCTGCCTGGACACTCTTCCTCCATTGGGGTGTTTGTGAATTCTGGGCCCCCTGACAAAATGTCACTTTGAGCCGCCTCAAAAGATTTTGCCTACTGGCGGGGTCCCCTCACTCGATAGGTGGACTCTGGGCTTGTTTAACCATGTGACCTCAGACAAGTAGCCAATGACAGCTCTGGGTGGGCACTCCGCTCTGCGCTTACCAATCTCTGATGCATCTACCTCTCCCACCCTCTAGGAAATGGCCGCTGCGAATGCAGGGTGTGCATCTGTGACGCCAACTACACGGGCAGTGCCTGCGACTGCTCACTGGATACCACAACCTGCCTGGCCTCCAACAAGCAGATCTGCAACGGTCGCGGCCTCTGCGAGTGCGGCACCTGCAAGTGCACCGACCCCAAGTTCCAGGGCCCCACCTGTGAGATTTGCCCCACCTGCCCCGGCGTCTGCACCGAGCACAAGTAAGTCTGCACCTCCAAATGGTGAGACTCTGTCCTGCTGTCGGCCATTTTGGCCATGGTCAGAGTTTGCCTGCTGTCAGAAAAGGCTTCATTTTTGTCTTTTCTTTATTTTATTTTTTTTTATCTGTGGAGAAACGTCTGAGAAACGATGTGTTCGCTGTTGGTGTTTGCTGGCTGAAACTACAGGCAACGAAAAGAGCTGTAACTTGATAGTAAAACCACTTCCTGTTTTGGTCGTCTTTGGATCCAGATAGCATTCCTCCATTCTGCTGGGTCCCGGCAGCTTTCTGGAGCTTTCTGTGGGAAAATGCAGTTGTGTGTTGGGTATGGGTTTGTTTTTGTTTGTTTTTTTTTTGTGTGGGGGAGGGGCCTTCCAAATTCTATTCAACTGAAAAAAGGTTAGGGTGCGTTGAGTCTTGGTGTTCCCTCAGCCGTGCGCCCAGCCATTCTCGGCGCGGATCCCGATGCCATCCGGTTTATCCAGCATCGCTGAGCTGCCTTTGCCCCCAGTGAATGAGGAAACTTTCTTTGGTAAGCCAAGGCTGCTCTTGGTAGCTTAAACTCACTGACCTCCCCGGGGCTCTCCCCCCCCCAGGGACTGCGTGCAGTGCCGGGCCTTCGGAACAGGCGAGAAGAAGAGCACCTGCGAGAGGGACTGTAGCTACTTCACACTGGAGAAGGTGAAGGACCGTGAGAAGCTGCCCCAGCCCGTGCAGGCCTTCCCCCTCATGCACTGCAAGGAGCGCGACGCAGACGACTGCTGGTTCTACTACACCTACTCCGTCAGCAACACCTCCGAGAAGATAGTGCACGTGGTGGAGGAGCGAGGTGGGCGCAGCTCCCTGTCTCTATAGGGGGGAGATGTGTAGCCCTGCAGATTAGGGGTCTGTGCTGGCAGCTGGGAGGGAACTAACATGTGAACTGCTGGGGGCCCGTGAGGAGTGAGTCAATAACCGCTGTCCTAGGCGTAACGTAAATCTTTAAATATAAATGTAATAACACAGACAGCTTTAATAACTACGCAATAAGGCATATGTATTATGTCACACTGAATAGTGTGGGTCACATATCATCCTAAATTGTAAATTCTCCCCCCCCTCCCCCCCCAGAGTGCCCCACCGGTCCGGAGATTGTGCCCATCGTAGCTGGGGTGGTTGCAGGGATCGTGCTTATTGGCCTGGCCCTGCTGCTCATCTGGAAGCTTCTGATGATCATTCATGACCGGCGTGAGTTTGCCAAGTTCGAGAAGGAGAAGATGAACGCAAGATGGGACACGGTGAGGAGCCCCCGCCTGGCGTCCCCGACTCGCCCGTTTGACCCTCGTCCCTCGCGCTTCATTAGCCTGCTCCATCGAGGCCCCTATGTTGTCGTACTGCTAGTGCCCCCTAGTGTATCCCACCAACAATACAGTTATGTTAGAAGGAATAAAATGGGCCAATTTCCCCACATGCAAATAAATCTGTACAAATACAAATTAAAGTTTAAATCAATGGAGTAATAGATGTAACTATATAAGTGAGTTGAGGAATGTAATTGGTAGGTGCTGTGTTTTGCTAAGATATGCTAAGCTAAGCAATGCTATGCTAAGCTACTCTGTTTCTGGTACCAGCACAGCAGTCTGATGCTCTCCTCCTGATGAGTTTAGCAGGCCTGTCTGCAGTCTGCTCAGCCCACTTCTGTATGCTCAGAGCCATGGATGCTGCCTCGAGTGTTTTGAGTACAAGCCTGGCTTTCCAGTGGCCGCTTGGCCAACTTTGCAGTGATCTTTTTGTCCATCCTCTCACGGGAGTGGCGTCTGCCTCTCTTGGCGAGGTGCTGCTGCCCCCTAGTGTTCCTTCAAGGCACATCAGTTTGAAGGACACTAGTCTATCCCAGTTGTTTGTAGCTCCATCTAGTGGTAGGTATGAGGTGCTGTAGTCCAGGCTGCATGGGCTTTTAATTAGAGGGAGCCGCACTGTGGAGTCACGGCTCTGGCCAGCTGGGCCTCACATGTAGATTAAGCGTTTTCAGTGCCTAGGTCTCCACTGCATGAACAGTGACTGCCCTGGCAGGGGAAAAACTGCGTAAATGTCTATAACCTGTTACATGCGTCATTGAACTGTCCCACTGCGGTCCAGGAAGAGACTCGCCCTGTTCTGAGCCCTCCCTTCATGACTGCTCGTCCTCTCTCTCTCTCTCTCTGTCTCTCTCTCTCCCTCCTCTTTTCTGCTGCCATCCTTGCCATCTTCCCTGTTCTCTACCCATAGCAAGACAATCCCATATACAGAAGCCCCATTAATAAGTTCCAGAATCCCAGCTATGGACGTAAAGCTGCAGTACTATAAGTTTGTATCTCCTCTCCTTTCTTTCTGTGCTTTCCTGCATGTTTCCTGGTCCCTGACCCTTTTGATATCCATCATATTCTCATCTACACCTTTGTAATATTTCTAATGACCAATGAGATTGTAAGAATGAGCCTTTGGTTAGGCTTGAATGGATATGCAGTTGGCTGATGTTAGTGTTTGTGTGTCCAAACTCTGATGAATGGGTAAGTACTCGAAGTAAAGGGAGAATTACAATCCCAGTGATAAATGCAGTAAGTCTGCACCATGTTGCCGTGGAGACTCATTTGCGTGCCGATTGGTTATTCTGCATGTGCCATGTGGGCTTTGAACCCATCGTTTGCTGTTGAAATCCCACTAAACATTACTAAACGGACTAGGAGGGTGACAGAAGTCGACCTTGAGTGCATGATTTTTTCTGGTTTCACCAAACTTTGAATTTAAAGTTTTTCTATTCAGATTGTGTGGCAGTTTCCAAAGGTGGTCTTAGTACTCAGGGTTTGCAGGTGACTAAGTAGCATGAAGGGTTTTGATGGTGGAATCCCAGCATCAGCGTGGATCTGTGCGATCCTGTAATCAGTCAGGGGTCCCAGTGTTTGATCGCGTGTGAGGCTGTCCCAAAACGTGCCTGTGTTTTCTGACTTTCGTCTCTGCCTTACAGGGAGAAAACCCCATCTACAAGAGTGCAGTGACGACAGTGGTCAATCCAAAATACGAGGGCAAATGATGGTGCCTCTTTCTAACACTGTACCACTGTATGCAAAATTGTTTAGGTTGGTGGGGGGGGGGGTAAGGGAGTGGGCTGGGAATCACCTCTGGGGTCTGTAGTCACAGTATTATAGCTTTAAGTTAGGCCACTATTTTAGTACATTTCTCTAACTTTTTTTCCCTATGCATTGATAAACTGTACATACATGTATAAACTTGGTTTTTGTTTTGTGTTTTTTTTTTCCTTTAAGTTGTAATTTGAGTTTTAATTGCAGGCCTGGCAATGCTTCAATGGTGCCTTTTATTTGAGATCTCAGACTTCCTCAATTACGGACCATTAGCCATGGTGACAGCGAGGGCCTGAGACGCGTAAAGGAATAAGCCACCTGATTATGTGATTGTGATCATGAAGGTTACATTGGGGTGGGTTCATGGTTGGTTTCGAATAACATGACTGCAAAGTGAAAGAAAGCCTTTTTGTTTTATGGTTTTTAAAAAAAAATGTAAATGTGGTGCCTGTTTCTTTCAGAATGTGTAATGGAAAGGTGTAAGAGTTTTGAGTTCTGCAGGTTTTGATTTTGGAAGCTGTCAATGTATAAAAATCTCAGGTTTGTTTGGGGTCTCTGTTTAAGCGATGCCAAAAATAACAGCCTTATTTGCAAGAGTAAAGCCTTATGCATTTTTAGCCTTTTACGTCATTTTACATCAATATACATGCAGAGGTTGCCAGCCCTCTTTTCTCTGTGTGTATGTACATGTGTTTTGTTATTTTGTCATCCCCCCCCCCCTCCCAGCCTGGTGCTTTTACAGATTTGGACTCGGGTGTGAATAATCTCCAGATGTGCCACGGAGTGTCCCTAAGAACGTCAGTGTTAAGAGGAAAGGGGGGGGGGCTCCATCTGATGCACTCTCTCTGTAACACACCTGCCCACGTCTCGCTTTTTAAAGTGCCTTTTTATTTCCGCCTCATGTTCACTTTCGCGATTGTTTTCTGAGTTTATTTATTAAATAAAGTACCAAAATCCCCACACTTCTGTGCATTTTTTTATTTTATGGCAACTTAAGATGTTTTGGCTTTTTAATTTTAACACGTTTTAAAATGCATTTTAGTCTATGCCCGTGCTAGGGTGTTTACTGTGCTAAATTTCAGATTCGTCATGAACAATGCATGAGTTTTAAACCACATATTTTTAGCTGATTCCTTTATCCAAAACAACATGCATTTTCGAGAAATTAGGGTCAGTGACGCAATGGTGAAATCTCTGCTGTCCCTGGGATTTGAACCAGCAGCCCTCCCGTTACGGACACTGCACCCTGACCTACTGAGCCACCCACTGGCCACAGCCCTGGAGCTAAGTGGTTCAGTGTGTAGCACTGTGACCTGGTGTCGTCAGGGTTGTGGGTTTGAGTCCCTCCCTTCTGCTCTGTGCGTGTGCACTTTGCATGTTCAGTGTCTGTGTTGAGCTGGATTTCTCTCTGTACTCTGGGTTTCCCCCACAGGCCAGAGAACCATTAAATAAAAATGGCGGATAACAGGCTTCACACTAAACCCTCAGTTCTTTTAGGAGACAGTTTTAAAGCTATTGTTTAGTTTTAAATCTTCATTCTTGGAACAGCATTAAGGTTTACATTAGCCAATAAGATCTACATTATGAATAATTCTGTTCACCCGCAACCCTGATTGGGATATGTGGTTGCAAGTTGGATGAGTAATTCCATTCAGTTCCTGAAAGTGGGAAATGAATCCAGGCAGTAATCTACAGGATTGTTATTCCAGAAGGGAGAACAGGCTGAACCCAGCTGACCACTAACCACGTGTGGGGTGACCTTGTAGAGAGGTGAGTTGTTTTTATAAAGCTGCTGAGATTCCGATACCCCCCCCCCCCAATACACACATACCCACACCACAGATGGTAGGTCCAAGGTCCTCCTGGTGAATATTATTTTTAATATACATTTAAAGGAGTGTACGGTGTGTGTGTGTTCTGGTGTGGGTTAGTTCCCCATCCGGTTATTCCTTGGCTTGTGCCTGTAGATTCCCAGGATAGGCTCCAGACCCCTACATCCCTGAATTGGACAAGTGGGTATGGAAGATGGATGGATGGACATTTGAAAATTGCTCGGGGCATGTTACAGCTACTGTTTACAGTAAAATAGCTGTTTTTACGTTGATTCACCACTAGGTGGAGCTATTACATTTGAAGACCAAAGGAAACCAAAGATGTGGTGCAGATTCAGTGACTGTAAATGTCTGTGCATTGTCTCAGTGTGTAACATTTCTGAGCAGTTTTACTACATAGGCTATAGCAACACATTAAAAAAACACAACACTTTCACGTTGGGGGTCTTTAAATTGCCTATAGTGTGGCTGGAATCTAAGATTCAAGATTATTTGTCACATGAATGTACTTGTACACCAACAGAGAAATGAAACTGTTGCCACTCCAGACTGCAATAAACAAAGTAGAAGAATGACAGAATAAAAATAACATTAACAAAATAAGTACTAAAATATAGAAATATATAAAAAGTAAAGATGAAAAGTTAAAATAAAATATTTGAGATTCCTGGCTGAATACATTTATGCCTTGTTCAGTAGAGGACATTAGAAGAATGTTCTGCGTTGCATCTGGAAACCACGTTTGGGTTAAGGAGGCAGGACAGGAGGAAGGAAAGCGTGAGAGAGATAGAGACCCCACCTCTCTGGGGGGCGGGGGATGTGATTTTAGGCTCTAAGGCTCCCTGCCTCTGCATGCATGTGGCCTGAAGCAGCACAGCCAGCAGGGAGGTAAGAGGTTGGGGCTCTATGTTGGGTTTAACAGCATCTGAGGCTCAGTGAGGGCTGAGGCTCAGTGTGGGCCTGGGCTTACGGAGGGAGCTGCTGATCTGCACAATCTTTCCCCACCAGTAGCTGTATTTCTTTAGCCATAATGTCTGTCATTTTTGTGAATATATGTCTCAGTATTTATATTCTGCTTATAACTTTGTCACTTGTACTATGACCAACAAGAGTATTTCCCCTCAGTCTATCTGACAATGAAGAATACTTTGACCTTTATTCCTGTTTCATTTTGACCTGCCAGATGATAGGACAGGCCTTGGCTGTAGGGCTCTTTCTGTGTTTCTGTCCCTGGGTCCCAGAGGCTGAAGGTAAGGAGCTATGTGGCGGACATTTGGGTCGTCGGGGTTCTGGGGCAGGTGCCGTCCTGGGCTGATGGGCCTCCCAGGCTCTGGTGACCTCAAAGGCACCCTCTCCGTGGTTCTGATGCCCTATTCCTGCTGTGTCTGCCAACCTGCCCTCTGGACCGTACCACTGGAGGCGGCCGGGGGGAGCCGTTGTGCCACGCCACAGGGGTGACCAGCTGTCAGGAGTGCCTGGCGTCCGGGCCGCAATGCGCCTGGTGCAAAGCAGAGGTATGTGCAGGACACCAGTCTGGGTGGGGTGTCCACATCCGCCGTCACTATGCTGTCGTTTAATACCTGTTAATATCATCGCACACAAACTAACACCCTTTAAGGTGATCATTAGTGCTCTCTATGAGTAACTGGGGGTAAATCTCTCATCACAAAATTAATTTCAATTCAATTTATTTTATATGGCAGCTTTCACAACACAGTTGCCCCAAGCCACTCGACAAGTATGCATGGTAATCCATTATTTAATCATTTATACAGAATGGTTTATGAAACAGGGACAAGGGATAGAATAAAACTGTTACACTTTGTTCGATAACATCTAAAGGTCTACCAGGAGCACACTGGAATAGAGATCTCTAATTTCCTTCCTTTGTGTGCGGGTCATAGATCATGTTATTTATAACTATGGGTGTGTAAGCATGCTTTACCGGGTCCCTGAGGTCGCCTCCCCCCTTTTGCGTGTGAAAGGGCTTCGTCAGGCTTGGCCAGCACACCTGGGAGCGCTGTGGTACAGTCCAGGCTCTGCTGGCGCGGGGCTGCCCCCCAGCTGCTCTGGAGGACCCGCGGGGCTCCAGCGTGCTGCTGCAGGACCGGCCCGTCGCCTCCCGCCGCAGGGACCCCGGGCACCACCCCCACGACGTCACACAGCTGCAGCCACAGAAGGTTCTCCTGAAGCTACGACCAGGTATGACCTGCTTTTAAAAACTTTTTATGTATTTGCCACACACTTTTATCAAAAGCAACATACATTTTTTCAGAAGGCATGGTCGGACAGTCTCTGGTGCAACTGGGGGCCCCGATGATAAAACCATTCTGCCAGCCCTGGGATTTGAATCGACGACCTTCCGATTGCGGGCACTGTGTCCTAACCTGTGTCCCTGTAAGCTGTGTTGTCAAAGCCCCCTGCAAATTTTATCAGTATTCCCAGGGTTATTAATTAAGCTGATTCCATTCTCATGGGGAATGTGGAATGAGGTACCATAATCACGTTCTCTCCCAAAATTGGGGTGTTCTTGGGTTTACGGGTTCCCAGTTCTCCGCTTTATAGGCCACTTCCTTCTGGACAGGGGAACCCCAGACCTTCGAGGTGAAATTCCGACGTGTCGAAGGCTACCCTGTCGACATGTACTACCTGATGGACCTGTCCTTCTCCATGGAGAATGACCTCCTTAATGTGAAGAAGCTGGGCACGGACCTGATGGAGGAGATGAGGAACATCACGGAGGACTTCAGAATCGGTGCTGGCCTCTCAGATTCCCAGACTAACTTTTATTTCCAGAATATTCAGTGAAAATGACAAATATGTTAAATAACAAGAATCAAGACTTGTAGAGTTTTGTGGAGCTTCTCCAGAAGGATGTGAGATTATTGGCATCTTTAACCTGTTTCTCTGATATCTGGATTTTTTGCACTTTGTTTAAAAGCAGTTGTTTGTGACCCTTTAGGATGATATCCAAGTCATTTTTTAAACAAATAATGGTGATTATCTTTCGGCCTGCAGGTTTTGGGGCATTCGTGGATAAAACGGTGATGCCCTACATCAGCACGTCTGAGCAGATGCTGAAGAATCCCTGTAAGAGGGTGGAACTCAAGCCCTGTGCCCCAGCCTTTGGCTTCCAGCACGTTCTGAGCCTTACCAATGATGGGAACCTTTTCAGCCAAATGGTGGGGGAACAGCATATATCAGGAAACCTGGATTTGCCAGAGGGTGGGCTGGATGCACTCATGCAGGCCGCTGTCTGTGAGGTAGGGGTCACGGTGGGGGGACGTGTCTTCTGACAATGCACTCGTGTGTTTTCTTTCCGGGCATTGTCTGCATGTGGAACGGGAAATCGCGTAGACATTTGAAGTTCTCGTAAGGACATTGTTGGGCACAGTCTGGTTCCCCCCCCCCCCAGGAACAGATCGGCTGGAGGAACGTGACCCGCCTGCTGGTTTTCTCCACGGATGCCGGCTTCCACTTTGCAGGGGACGGGAAGCTGGGAGGGATCATCCTGCCCAGTGACGGAAAATGTCACCTGAAGGACAATGTCTACACCATGAGCACGCGCCAGGTGGGGGTCCTATGTGTGCGGCCAGCAGGCTGGACTATGGAGCTTGGTGTTGATCATTCATTCTTCATAGTGGCTTCTCAGGAATCATAAGGTTGGGTGATAATCCTATAGCGACCCCCAACGTAAGCCTGACTGTCAACATTTGGCCTTGTCATTTACTGATTAGCTGCTGGGTAAACAGGTCAAGATCCTGAGAAAAAATTGGTCATAATTTACCATCCATTTTTAAGAAGTTCGAACTGAATCGAACTGAACAGCTGAAGGCTGAGTGCATGTCGGTCCTTCCAAGTGCTCCCAAAAACTTACTTGCTCCAACTTATATAGTTTAAGAGCTATTTTGATATTATTTAGTCATGAGCTCCAGATATTTCATGCCAGAGCTACTTATTCCTGTTCTTTGAAATCAAACACCACACCAAGCTTAGGTGCAGCCCAAATTTAACACACCTGTTACAGGAGGCTCTAATACTGAGATGCTACTGAAGGGCCTGATTATCGGCATCAGGTATGTTAGATAACGGCTGCACCTGAGCTCTGTAGGGTGATAGATCTCCAGGAGCAGGAATAAGTTTGTTTGACCTTGTTTGTTCTGGATAAGGTTGCAATTCTGGGAATTTTTAAGTTAGAAACATTCCATGGCAATTAACAGGAATATATATCGGAATCAATGGGAATAAACCGGAAATTTGCAAAATTGCATGTTAGCCTATAAAAGGGAACTTAATTGTATTTGGGGGAAAAAAAAACATTTGGGTGATACCATTGTGATAGTGATATCATTGTGAGTGCTTGTGAGTAGTTGTGTGTGTGTGTGTGTGTAAAACAACCCAAAATAAGTATCTGCATGAAAACGCACTGGTTGTGAGTAAAATTCTATGTTGTATTATTCATTCAGTTTGCTTTATTTGCCGTATCTGACAGCTTGCGCAGAGTTCCACAGAATTCAATATTTCCAAAATTCCAAAGAACTTAACTTCCTATAGAAAGTTTCTGGAAAGATTCCGTTCCTTTGCAACCCTACTTCCCATGGTGGGTTTTTGGAAAATTTCTGGAAATTTACCGGAAATTTTCCACCCCTTTGCAACCCTAGTTCTGGATTACAGTGTCACACTAGATTTGCTTTTGCCCAATGAAGCAATATCCATGTACTCAATGTGTGACCTGTTTGGTCTCGGTTTAGGGTCTGCAATTTGGCTACAAAGTAACATAATGACAGCTGGCTTAGTCAATCTGACTTGCCAGCTTGGTTTAATCGGATATTACACCTCATAAGCTCGAAGGATTAGCTTGTGTGATCACTCAAGGTCCTCGACTGTAGCATTCCTGGTTGCTTCAATTCAGAGGCTGCACAGAAGTTTATTACTGCTCAATATAAACCTCCAGTTTCCTAGAACCAAATGATGGATCAAAAATCGAGAATTGTCAAGTCTAGTGCACACGTAATCCTGACCAGAAATTGATTTCAGACCACCAAGAAGTAATTCAAACTGTTTATTCGATGGGTAAACACAAAATACACCAATCACGATTCAAGACACAAAGATCAACATAAATCGAACATAAGTGGTCACTTAATTATAAAACTACATTATAGTAGACATTCAAGACAACACACAAAGTGATACAACCCCCAGCAGAAGATACATATAGTATATGTGAGAGAGATTTGGCTACAGATGCTAATCACAGAGTATGACACAGGAGCTCTGATTACAGAGTAACTCCTCAGTAAATGCCTGAACATGATGGGGACGTTAAGTGTCTTTATTAACCAAGGGGGCAGAGTCTCCCAACAAGGCAAGGTTTCCCCGAATTTCTTTATGTTTTTAATATTATGATATACTGCTTTAAGACTGAGTCCCGCTGAGCCAATTCAAATGAGACCAAGCGTGAATATGTACATTAATTACATTAATATTAGACAGTGTTTCTCCCATTTTGGCTTTCCCTATAACCTTTCTGGGACTGGGATAGGCAGCAAAGGGGCAGGGAGAGATGAGGAGAGGGCCGGGTGGGTTTATGGGCCTGGTGGGTTTATGGGCCGGGTGGGTTTATGGGCCTGGTGGGTTTATGGGCAGAGTGCCTGTGGACCACTGCTCGCTCACTCAGGTTGAGGTGAAATCACTGGTTGTGGCAGAATGATAGTCTGAGCCCAGACTCATTGGAGCCAGGTTAGCAGTTCCCTCCTGGGGGGAGAAGCAGCAGGGTCACAGAGTCCTGTGTGGCCATGGGCCTCACACATGATTTCATCCATTTATCCATCCATCTAACCTTCCTTCCATCTATCTTTCAATCGCTTATCCTACAATTTTTACACATGACCTTATACTGCATATTATTATCCTGTCTTTAATAATTAGTAGAGTTAAGCAATATGGTGTTAGATGGTGGATGGATGGATGGATGGATGGATGAGCAAATTATTAGAGTACAGTAGTAGGGCAGGAACATGGAGTTGCTGGGGGAATCCCTGCCTTTGTAAATACAGGACTGTGGGTGTGTGCACACATACCTTTCATGTGTGTATGTCTAGGACCAGCTGCTGTACTCTTGTGTTGTGTTTTCTGGCTTGGCTGCCATGTTGGCATGTCATATTTCCTGTGGTTGATCCTGAAGGACTACCCGTCCCTGGCTCATCTGGCCGAGAAGCTGAGGGAGAAGAACATCCAGACCATCTTCGCCGTGACCCAGGACGTGGTCCCCCTGTATGAGGTGGGAGCTGCAGGGGTTTCCAGCACCAGTGATCCTTTAGTGAAGAAGTTCAAGTTCAGGTGACCTTTGATTAGATAAACGAATTATCTGGCACATGATCCAGTGATCCTGAGGTTACAAGAATCTGCTTTGCTGTCCATAAGAGTTGCATTGGACTGAATATGGAAAACACCTGTTGAAAAATGTGCCAGTTTACCTACCTGGATCTCCATTCTTACAGCCTATCCAAGGGTCCAACAGCATGTTACCACTGTCTGTGCCTTTTTGTTCTGTACCAGCACTTCTGCTGATTTCTTTGTGTTTATTTTGCAGTAAAATGTCATATTATCTTGGTTCCAGAAACTGAAGCAGATATTTCCTACTTGTACTGTTGGGACCTTATCAAATGACTCCCACAACATCCTGCAGTTGATTGTCGAGGCTTACAATGTGAGTTAAATTCAATTCAACTCAAAGCTTTATTGTCATACGTGCAAAGTACAGTGTACAGAGTGCAATGAAATTCTTACGTGAATGCTTCGTCAGAGACTAGACAATTAACAGAGTAATGCAACATTACAATAACATTAAATAAACAGCAGACAATAAACAGCTAATGAATAAGCTATTGACAGACTGCCCGTGAGTGCAGGTGTAAAGTGTTTTTAAACAGTCTGTAGCATGTGTATTGAGAGTGTGTTAGCAATATTGCACATTTTAATCAGAGGCCCTGAAGTGACATTTTGAGTGGAGCCCCAGAAGCACAAAGCCTGTCTGTGCCCTCAGGGCACGCCACTGCAGACTCAATGTCATCGTACCCATAGAAATGTGGCTGGTGACCTGTGCCCCTCAGGCTCTGACCTCGGAGGTCATCATGGACAACAGCGAGCTGCCCCCTGGGTACCAGATTGAGTACAGCAGCACCTGCAAGGGTCACGTGACCCAGACGGGGGAGGCAGGACGCAGGTGTTCCGGTGTCTCTATTGGAGATGAGGTAAGCATGTTCCTGCTGGCAGGCTGCTGCCGCCCTAAGCATCTCTGACACATGCTTCCTGCCCCCCCCCCCCATGGTCAGGTGACCTTCCAGGTGAGTGTGACGGCGCCGCCCTGCACGGCTGAGACGGCAGAATCGCAGCTGCTGATCAAAGCGCAGGGCTTCAGCGAGGAGGTGGAGGTGCTGCTCCACCCTCTGTGCCGCTGCCAGTGTGCCAAGGACAGCGAGCCCCACAGCCACAACTGTAGCGGGGGCCACGGGACACTGGAGTGCGGGGCCTGCAGGTGGGGGTGCCCGCTAATGGACACATCACCCTACATCGTTTATAGTATGCACATTCAAGCCATTATTGTGAGACATTCATCAGGCAGGATGGAGACCAGAACCACTTGACGAGGGGAAGGAATTGGAGTCTGATTTGGATATGGGGTGGAGAAGTGTTAGAAAGCAAGAACAACTGGGGGGGGTGATATTCACTGCCTTATGCAAATACATAAGGGCCAAATGATTGGATCATTATTACAGTATTAAAGTAAAGTCAGCTGAGTGCCTGAATCTACTGATTCTGATTGGCTGGCCAGGTTATACTCCAGGACGGAAATGCCTAGATTTATTGGGCTCAATCTCTGAAAGAGTAGTTCAGGGAGCATGAAGAATCATTTTCACACATGATTTGGCCATCAATTAACCATTGAAAGGCTTTGAGATGTGCTGAAGAAGACTTTACAACTGTGCTTTTTCTGGAGCAACTGACGAGCCACACAGAACACCCGAACTTGACTGTTTAATATGTGGTTGACCGCCATGCCACCTGTTGGTCATTCCCAATAACCCAGGTGTGACGTAGGTCACGTTGGCACATTCTGTGAGTGTGAGGCAGCCATGGCAACCATGGGCGACCTGTGCCGACGAGACAACGCCTCGGAGGTGTGTGGCGGGCGCGGTGACTGCGTGTGCGGCCAGTGTGTGTGCCACAAGCTGCGCCGGAATTCCGAGCATGCCTACTACGGGGAGTACTGCCAGTGCGACGACCTGCACTGTGATCAGCACCAGGGTGTCCTGTGCGGAGGTATGGGGGCCTACTGCGTGCCACGGGTGACCGGGGAAATGCCTGCACAGAATCATGTGTTTGCTGACCAGCCTCTCCTAGTCTTTTATGACGTATTCTTCCACAAAAAGGTTGTTATGATAATAGACTGTTAGCAGAACAGTCAGTCGACACTTTTGCCTTATTTAATCTAAGTTTTTCGAGGCAACAGGAAACAGGAACAGTTTCATAATGCTAGGAAATGTGACTGAGAAAAACTCCTGCAAACAATGTTAATTCCCCTAAGTTACGGGGCGGGTCAGTGATCTGCTGGTGACGTCATGGTGCGCTGACCTAGCGTGCTCTGCGGGTGTAAGGGCGGGGCAGGTGTGAGTGCGGTGTGTGCCGCTGCTCCCCGGGCTTCAGCGGCAGCGCCTGTGAGTGCCCCACCTCAACGGCGACCTGCCTGGGACCCAACAGCCTACTGTGCAGTGGGCGGGGCCGCTGTGTCTGCGGCACCTGTGTCTGTGGGGATGCCCGATTCCAGGGCCCCAGCTGCGAGCTCTGCCCCAGTTGCCCGGACGTGTGCGTCATGCACAGGTAGGGGGCGCCACATCTGAATCCCACCTGAGGGTTTAAATTGACTTTAGATTAGATTGACTTTATTAATCCCACAATGGGGAAATTCCTTAGAAACAGCAGCAATACTAAAAAAAGACAGACTTTTGTGGGGTCTTTGGAGAACACATTGTCCCCACCTTTCCCTCGGCAGGGAGTGTGTGCTGTGCCAGGTCTCTGCCCCGGGTTTGGCAGATGAGCACTGCAACACTGAGTGCAGTTCGCTGAACCTCACGCTGGTTCCAGACCCCCAGCTCCTCCCCCAAGAGCGCCGGGAGGCGGGGCTTCGGCGGTGCCGTGAGAGGGACGCTGATGGCTGCTGGGTGCAGTTTTCCCATCAGGCCGAGTGGGGGAACACCTCTGCCCACCTCACCATAGCCTTCCATAAAGGTAGGCCCCAAAGTCCCCTGACACACATGGGGTCCAGGCAGCTCTGGTCACAGCAAAGACTTAACATTAAAATCAAATGATGCTTTTGCCATTTGTACATTTTTAGCATGCCCCATCTTGATCTCTTTGATGTTCACACACATATAGAGGTGAGGGCGAAGCTTGGCATCTGAGCACAGGGCCAGCCAAGCATCCAGCACCCCTGGAGCATTTTCTGGGGAGTTACAGTAAGGGCATTGTACATGTGACTATTTTGCCATGCATGGGATTCGAACCAACCACCTTCCGACCATAGACACAGAGGCCTAACCAACCACACGCTAATTACCTAGTCCAGCAGCATTAGGACATCAATCTTTGCTGGCCTAAAGCTCCTTCTCTATTGATTCCACCCTCCATTATGAACTAAGTTTAACGTCCCGATCCTGTGGCCTTCAGCTTGATGTTTCCTATGCCATCTTCTCCCAGAATGCCCACCAGGCCCCAACGTGGTCCTGATCACTGCCGTGGTGTCGGGCTCTGTGGTCCTGCTGGGCCTGGCTCTCCTGCTGCTCTGGAAGCTTCTTACCACCATTCATGACCGCAGGGAATTCGCCCGTTTTCAGAACGAGGTGGAGCGCGCACGCTGGGACACGGTGAGTGCAGCACTGATGGCAGCGGCCCCCGACCTGCTGCGATGGGGCATTCAAACATGCAAGGGGGTGTCATCATTTTTCTCAAGATCATTTCCTCTGTCTTCGTTCTAGGGCGATAACCCGATCTACAAAAGTGCAGTGACCACAATCAAGAATCCAAAATACAAGGCACACTGACACCCTTCCACACGGTTCCCAGGCTTCCTTACACTTCCTGTTTGGAATTTCACTTAGCAGAGCACAATGGGCTGTAACTGTACCCAAAGTAAAGTATTTGGCATGTGGGGTTAGCCTCACTTGCTAACTGTCGCTAACCATGTTACGTTTAAGTGACGTTTCTGAGTGACCCTAAGCAACATTCTGAGTGTTCAGTAAGAGATGCAGGAGGTTATGCTTAACAGGGGCCAATATCAGTCTTTTTTACCAGGATAGAATTGTTATATTTTGTAAAATGCATAATGCAGCTACTACAAAATGGAAAATATTTCATGCTACCTGCATATACCAAGAATTATCAGATAAATGTGAGAAATTATCAGATAAATTAATTTTCTATAAATTTGTCAACTCTAAAAGTCAAAATGCTTGTGTTTCCCACTCAGTGATTTTTTCTTTGAAAAGTATGAGGGTGTGGTGATACCCCTTAGTCCCTCAAGAGGGCAGCAAAACAAATAATTTCTGTTACACCGTTCACTGTATTTTATAATGACGTAATGCTAAATGCGGGTTGATGTCTGGTGTACTGACTTGTATGCTGTGTCTGTATAAATATGCAACGTGCGTAGTTTAAATTTATACTATAAATGCAATAAAACCTCTGTTATGAAACATGATTGTGTGTATGTGTGTGTGTGTGAGAGAGAGAGAGAGAGAGAGAGAGAGAAGAAAATCTCCCAGAGAATCTGCCTCTAAATAGCCAGTACTCACGTGCAACTGTATGATCACATGACACACAGGATCACAGGATAATTTTTCATGGAGTAACAGACAATTCAGGGACTATAGGAAATAAACAGTATAAATTCTTTCATCTTCAGATTTCCAGTAATTTGTCCAGGTTTGAGTAATAGAGAGCCTGAGCTGTGGCAGTCAGTGTGTACAGTATTATGGTCTGTCTCCGCTGAGCCCTGATGTGCAGTGCTAATCCTCATGCTGAGCTGCTTAGCTAAGCCAGGCTGCACCGGTGCTCCACAGCACCTCCTATGGGAATGTCTGGGTGGATCCCTGTAGTAGTTGTGCAGGGGGGGGGGGGTGTTAAAGGTGGAGGTATGGAGGGTAGCTGCACACAAGGGGACCTCCGTGGCAATGTCAGCGGGGAGGGAGGGAGAGAGAGATGGAGATGGAGAAGGGGGGGGGGGGGAGGGGGCAGCTTCTGGAGCCATGTGCTAAACAAGCAGCTGAGAATGAGAGTTCCAGAAAAAAGAAAGGTGGGGGGCAGGGCAGCACTCAGGGGGTCAGCTTGATGTTCAGCCACAATAAAAGCCCCCTGATCTGACATGTGCCCGCAAGCAACGACCTTCGTCCTGATCAGAGGCTCCAACCACAGGGACCTGGCATCCCTGAGAAAGGGATACTAGGCTGAAAAGTGCATATAATTATACCGCTCCACCGCTTACGGGATATTTTTGAATCTATTAAGCTAGGAGCCTGACTGGAACAATGCAGGTTAAGTACCTGGGGCACCTCCTGGGATTTGCACAGGCAGCCTGCTGAGTGACAGAGTTTCCTTAACCATTGCGCCACCTGCTGTCCCCAGACTGCAACACTTCTCTTTGGTCCTTGAAAAGGAATCGGAGCATTGTGGGTTTTGATAAGAGAAAGAGCTGCATTGCGCCCTCTATCTCTCTTCTGGGTCACATGTTTCCTGCAGATATGTCGCTGAAGGTGGGGGGGGGCTTTCCACATGCCCTCGGGGGATGCTGGGAGAGGGGCAGTCGGAGGTAGAGGAGTGACACAGCATTACAACACGAAAGAAGGTCCAACTGCTAGCATCCTTGCTTATAGAGACTGATCAACATCATCTGGATTTTATTGCACCTACACAAGTATTAGAAGCGGCAAAACATTCCCGTTAAGACTGCAGGTTGCTTTGGTTCTGCCCTCAGCTTTATCTCCAGGATTTTTCCTGACAATATTTGTCATTTTGGTTCACTTCAAAGCTCAAGGGGTCAACTTCCTACTCAGGCAAGTCACAGAAGTATCATACTGATTTAGGTGTGTATGACACTTCTTTGAGCAAAATGATATACCAGATATATACCAGGTACAAAGGTAAACCTTTCAGGCAAGAAACTCCAAAGACAGCATGTGAAGACTGGGAGATGTTTATTGACCAGGTGGACCTCTTTGTAAAAGCTGGGATCCAATGCAGCAAAGAATGCTGGAAAAGATGCTATTCAAACCTGCTGTTCCAGAATCAGCTCAAATGTGGCATAACCCAAAATCTGGAGCAATCAAGGACTTCCATGTGCATCAGCAATAGCATAAGCATAAATCTTCAGAGAGCCAGATGTATTTGACAGAGGCAGGCTTTTTTATAGTTCATGATGAGCTCAGCTCTTCATTAGTGTGTAAATTTGGCATGTACCTTCATGAAGCCTTAAGGCGCATTATAACCATTCAGTGAAGCCCAAAGACTACAGACATCATTGGCATGAAAAGGATTTTATGTCTATCATAACCATATGTGAGCCTCCTCTTCGTTATTCCACCTTTTTCCGATAATATCCAGCAATTTGAAATAGTGTTAATTATGTAGTGATTACAGCCATTTGGTCCTAATGACTTAGAGCCTTGTGATAAACCACACATCACTTTCCTTGCTGATATCCCATCCCTAAGCTATAGCGGCAGATGGAAACATGGATAAGCCCAGGCTTTCTGGATTTTCCGATACATGGCCGGATCCCATGCCGATCTGAATGCGGCCTCCTTGACTTAAAAAACGGAAACTCTCCAGGAAAACGTTAATGTGAGATGACCGATGCACACGGCACCCAGGGGATCTTACTTCTCTAAGTCAGATCATGGCAATACAGTGGTGAGTGCCAGTGTGCCTGTTGTACTTAGAGGTCAATTATTTACAGGCTTTTGATCAATAGACACGTGGAGGGGTGTGGGACTCTCACATGTGGCACTGGCTTTTGTCCAGCTATGTGACCCTCAACCAAACCATGCCAAACTGGAGAGAACAAATCAAAACCATGCTGGCACCCTAAAAATGGGTTATGTGTTGACGTCAGTTTCAGGTGTAGGTGGGTGGGCCTTAAAGATAATAATAATAATGATAATAATAAACGTACATATAATTAGCAGATGCTTTTGTCCACAGCTACATACATGTGAGCCATATAACACAGCACATACATACATGCTGTCAAGGAGTCGAATAGGCATCAGTGTAACTAGGCTGAGCTTCCAGTGCATGTCCAGGTGCAGGTGCAGGTCCAGGTCCAGGTGCAAGTGAACGCAGTTTTGGAGATGGAGCCACAACAACAATTACACAACAACTTTAACAAAGTACGAACCTAATAAGACTATTCAAGGGGCTGAAGTGCGACATAAGAGCATTCAAAGAACATGAAGACAAAGAGGCATCAGGCTAGTAGAGGAATTCCTGGGACAGATGGGTCTTGAAGCATTTTGTGAAGGTGGAGAGGAAGTCTGGTGGCTGGACTTGGTCCAACAGCTCATTCCACCATTGGGGAACCACACAAGACACCCATCCAACACTTTACGCATGGTGGAAGGAGCTACAAGCACCATTGGTTTGCTGACCAAAGGGGGCGAGATGGGACATTTGATGGAGATGGGTGCCTGTCCATTGATGTACCTGTAATAATAATTATTATTTATTATTGTTCATAAACTACTCCCTGTCTATGAATTATTGTGCATTTTGTCACATAAACTCAGGCCCATAAAGTTTTTAAGGTCTTAAGGTCAGCAGTTTGACAGACATTTCTATAGGCCTAGATATTACAGCCAAAATTTATGATGTTTTGGCTCTATGTGTAAACTGAGAACCCCACTCCATCAGCACCATGCTTTATATTCAAAATCAATCTGTAATCTCTTATCTAGAATATTATTCAAATGCTTAAAATCCAGATTTTGGTAGTTTTTTTCTATTATTCTCTTATCCAACATTAGGCCTATCACCGGATCTTGGTGTCAATGGACAGATTGCCGGAAACATGCCTGAGCGCAGCTCCATAATCAAAGCACCCTGAATACGCGGGTGTGCGATTTAATAATTCATTTTTTAATTTAAGGTACATAGGCCAAATGAAGACGCCTCAAGAGGTACCTCTTGGGAATACATTGGGAATATGGGCATTATATTATGCTAACTTTCAAAATCTACGTCGTACTGTTTATACAACTTGTCGACAGATTAAATTAAGCAATTATTCTTAACTTCTCTTTGTTTATGAAAATAAGTTGAGATAAGAAGACTTTTTGTTTACAAGAAATAGCGGAAATACGATACCATTTATCACCGATTTCGGCTGTTTTAATCACTGAGGAAATACGGCGGTTATTATAAAACCGAGCAAACTGTATTGAGCGTACCTTCAAATTCACGTCAAGGCAGGGGGCGCAAAATAAAAGGCGCCCCTATGTGGCCGAGCAGCGCAGCTGACGCTCCACCAGACTGAGTCATGCTTGTGTATTGCTATGTTGAGGAAAAGGTAAATCTGCTGGTGGCCGTCCCATTTATAGCATAATGGTGTTAGCGCTATTTGTTTAACTCACACTTTAATGCGATTGTGTGCCAAAAAGCGAGAACCTTACCTCATCTTTTCTTACTACGTAGGTGTCTCTAAAGATCCGTTGTGTGTGTGTGCCTGTGTGTCACATAGGCCTATTGAATATATATATATATATATTCATATATATATATATTCATATATATATATGGCTTTTTAAATAAGTGCACGAACATATAAGAACGTAAAGAGGAAATAAAAGTAAAACAAAATAAAAGAAAATCTGATTCTTTGATAAGCTTCATGCCGTTGTATCGTATTAATGTAAAAAAAATGTTTAAGGACTTAAAAGCAGGTGGTGCTGCGGTTAAAGACGTTGACTTGCAGTCGGAAAATTGCAGTAGGAAACACCGTACACTGCATTTGCCAGCAGCACGCTCATTGTAAATGTCATTTTAAAACTTGAACCTCGGGGTTTTTTTTAAACATATAAAACACACTGGACAAAGTCGCGCCCTTTGCGCTGTTTTATAACCTTGTCGCACCACGGGGCTGCTTGCCGGGGGAGGGGGTCTGCTCTCGGTATCGCGGTACCGGTCCGGCCCGGATCACATGTTGCTGACCCGTTTGTGCGATCCGTGGAGCGACCCGGGGGGAGGGGGAAGTCTAACCCCTAACTTTGGCTGCTGACTGAGCTCATCAGCCCCCGTCTCTCCACAGGTGATTGGTGCCACTCGCCGTCCAATCGCAGCGCGCTCGTTTCGCCATCGCAAAGTTGTTAACCCCATACCGGAGTGTATTCCTCCGGCTTGATCAGCTTTAATCTCCCCGGTGCTCTTTCCAGCCGCCCCCTCCCCCCTCCTTCAAACCCTCCCGTTGATTTCCATAATATTTTACAGGCACCAAGACGCGTGTCGGTTCGGCGGGTCTGGGAGATCGCTTCGCCCCCGGAGATGGTGTCCGGAGGGAGCCCGACAAATGTCTCCCAGTTATTCTGCTGCATGGCGTTTGCTCTTTGCCAAACACCTACCAGTCTCGTTTTTTTTTTCTTTTTGATAACCTAGTTGGCCAGGACAGCTAGTTAGAATGTTGAGTATGATTTCCATCTCCCATTCGCGGCGTTACTGGTAAGTTCTTGCTGATTTTTATATATCATTTATATTTTTCGCATTATAATCTCGTCCAGTACTGGCGTGTCACAGTTGTACTACCGATTGCCATTTTCTACGTGTGCTCATGTGTAGCGAGCATTATGTCTCTCCGGCTTGGCTACATATGTATTAATTCCACCCATGGTTGTCGCGTCAAGACAATACTTCATTTTAATTGTATTTTTATTCCTCCTCTGTTGAATGTTGAGCCAAAGTGCGCTGCTGGGTGTTTTTTTTATCAGTAATTCCTTGCGCAAATATCGCCCCGATTATGGACAAAGAGTCGGCCGCGATCTAAGTAAAGGAAGGTGACGCCGTCTTTTTTTGCTCGAATCTTATAATGGGTGGTGGGGGGGTAAACTTGCTGGTTTGTCTTGTCCGACTTCTCCCCCCCGCCCCGGCCGACCGGAGCCCCCCGGAGCCGCAACGCAAACTGCGTACGCAGCGCGCAGCCGCTTCACCTTTGTCTGGGTGCGCGCAATACACGCGTGTGTCTTTAAAATATAATTAAAATAAAATAAATTTAAAATGGTGTGTCGATATGGATAAGCGGCCGTGGACATGCTATGAAAATGCTTTTCTTTTCCCGGATTTTGCGTGGTGGGTGCGAGGGGGGCTGCCCTTGTGTTAAAGGTGGAGGTTGGCGTGTTGACATATCGTGGGTAACGTGCCGTGTTAAGTGAGCGTTTCATGTTAACTAGCTGAGAGACTGGTCAGTAAATGCGCGGTTAACGTCAACTAGCTGAGCAACTAGTTAGCAAAAAACCCGTTTAGTGTTTCATGTCAAAACTATGATTAGGGAGGGAGGAGGGAAAGGGGGGCACGCGGTTCGGTGTGGAATCATTTTTGGCTTTTTGGTTTTCAGGGTGGCGCTGTGCGAATACACATGCGAATAATTTAAAAAATTTAATGACAAATAGAAGTGGGGCATAGTCCGTTGTGACACCGTAATGTGACATGCGTCAGATCTGAGCTATCAGTCCGGGGTCGCCTTGTCTGCTCATCATCTTAAATAAATCCATAGGGGAATATACCCCCAGATGCCTCCTGACGCCGGATCTAATTGCAGATGATTGAAAATCGTCCACAGGCTGCATTTAAGCCGCTACTGGTCATGCATGCGTTCAAGAGCCGATGTTAAGGTCTGTTTTGCCGATTTGAAATCTTTCAAGATGACATTTCCTGAACTTGACCTAATTATTGTTGTTTTTTTTTTTCTTTCAAATGTGTACTGCAAAAAATGGAGTATACCATCTGGAGATTCAAATGTATATCCAACAATATTCCTGCACAAGGGAATTGGTGAGGACAAAATAACTATCCAGAAGCGAATTTTTCCTTTGTGCTCAAAGAAATATGACCTGTATACCCCGCAGCTGAAGAGTGTTTGGTGGAACAGGGCAATACATGCAGTATATCTGTGAGATATAATGCTGTAATCTCCCTGGGGATTGCAGTCTGCTGTTCTCTGGGAGGTTACGTCCCTAGTCATAAACTGGCCTGACTGACAGTAGGCGAATGTAAATTTTTACAGTATAGATGTGATAAACCTTCAGAGCTCTTAATACATCTATTTTAATGCTGTTGCTAGTGCTGAGGTTTCGTTTGAAATGGAGCTGTGTACTGCAAAGGGTGTGCTTTTCTTAGCTGTACTTAAAATTTTTCCATGAAACTGGACAATTCAGATTTTTGAACAGCCCAGTGGGGGGCAGCTTGTACAGTAATGGAAATGGGGGGGGGGGGGGGGTTATAAAATTACTGCTTGGGGTGGGTGCAGCTTTACGTAAAACGTCCTGGATGTTTTCTGTATTACTGACATGTAAAAGCCTGCCCTTCTCTGGTAGGGATGAACAGTGTTTGGCAGTGGCAGCAAGGCATGTTGGGTAATGCACGGTTGGCTGTATTTCTGCAGCCCATTTGTCTCTGGGTTTGCACTGAATTGGTAGCATGGAGCTGGTTGGTGTGGAAAGCCCTGAGTTCTGTCTCTAGGCTGCTTTCCACCAGAGGCGAAGTGATTCAGCTTCTGGGTGCGGAGCTAAAAATCACATTAGTGGCAGTCAGCTGGAAAAATGGAAGCCATAACAAGCCTGAACATGGTGATTGTGGTGAACGATTTGGCTGGAATCAACAGACAGAGGGGTGGCTCGCAGTTGTTTTTTTACAGGTTAGTCGAACGTCCAACAAATGCCAAAATATCTGCTAAGACCATACACATATGTGAGAGGGCGGTGGTGGCTCTGTGGGTTAGGATGCAGTGCCTGTGATCAGAAGCTTGCCAGTTCATATCCTCCAGTCAGCAAGGTGTCACCATTGGGCCCCTGAGCTAGGCCCTTAACTTCCAGTTTCTCCAGCAGCTGGCTCACCCTGTCCTCTCAAATGTGCATCTCTTTGGAGAAAACAACTGGTAAGTAAAGGGAATGTAAGACACAAACTGACATTTCAGCTGGGTTTGTAGGTCCTACAGGGTTTTCGGGCCTGGCTATAAGTGCCAGGAGGGGCTCAGCTGCCTTTAAGAGCCATTTGCTCTGGCAAGATATCGGTACAGATGGGTAAAAATTACTGATTATCATAAGTGTCAGCTAATCGACAAAAACGGTGTTAAAATCCTTTGACTTTAAAGAACCAGCTTGATGGATCAGGCTCCTGGTGTGTCTATTAAGTGTGGATGTATTTATCGCAGCTGGGGTCGCAATCACTGGTGTTGCAAAAAGAGGGTTTCTTTGAACGAGTAAATGAATTTGCCTGGCTGGTGGTAGCAGCCATCTGATTTCAATCCGAGGAAAAGCACATGGAGACTGTTGCTCTGAAATGCGGCTGTTCGATGTGGAGGCTCCGTAGTTCTGGACTTCAGGCTTGTCTCTTACCCACTTAAATGTCCTCTGTGGTGATGCTCTATATGGCTGAGATGTTTGGTTTCTTGATCTTAAAATTTTTGGTACGACGTGCTGAAGTGGTTAGCTTAGCCTTACCTAGTCAAATTCCCAGTCGCGGCCTAAATTTTATTTAATGCCCCTTTTATTGTTTGCCTGGTGGTAGTTTGGAATAGCCTCCTTGGTATTAAAGTTTTCCCTCAGTGTTCTTTCACATATTATAGGTGGAAGGTCTATGGTCTCTGCATAATACCAGTCTTGAGGCAGGTAGCTAAGCTTGCTAAGGGGCTAGCTGGTCTTGGCTGGGTGAGTTGTATTTCTGGTGGGGTTTCCTTGGCCCATGTGGTAGCCAGCTGTCTACCTTTAACAGGTTCGAAGCAGGGCAGAGAGGGAGGACTGCGATTTTAGATGTTTCCCCCTGCCTGCTTGCCAGTCTTTAGCCTGTTGGGATGGTTTAATCTTCTTGAGTGGTCACATGCCTGGTGGGCGGAGTCCTGGCCGCAGTTCACTCACTGGGTGCCAGCACAGCCTGTGGTGGCCCAGAGTATGCAGTGGGTTGTTTGGACTAACATTGTGCTGGTTAGTCCTTCTGCCTGCTTGGATGACTTGGATGCTTGTGGTGAATCTGTTCGTTCCAGCAAATGTTTTTTAATGAATTGGATCTTTCTACTGTTAAAGCAATGACGTCAAAGGTTTTTCTGTGGTCTGTCCTTCTCGTCTTGTCCTCAGTGCTGGTGTTGGTAGGATGCTTGCAGGGTGGACACCAAAGCTCAGTGATCTCCACTAGCTTTCATTCACCTGACATGTGCCTCAGTGCAGTTGGACCTCCAGCTCCTTGTTGCCTACGGTAGCTAGTGTGCTGGCTTTCTACTGCATCGTTATCCACCTCCAGTGACTCAAGTGCATGATTGTACTTGCGTTCAGCTTCTTAATTGATTATGCCAGCACGATTGAGTGCAGTTAATGGGATTCGGTATGTGCCAGATGGCTGTGGTTCGCTGTATTGGTGCCGGGTGCTGGCTGTCCCAAGCTGATCTCTCCTGGACTAAAAACCCTCCCAGTGTCCATGGATGAGTCATATAGGCAAGTTCTCCAGACAATAATGGGTCTTGAATCCATGCAAGAAAATTAAGTATTCCGTAGCGTAGAGTGTTCTCAAGGCAACCATGGATTTAATGATGAATTATTTTTAATGAAAAGCAGTCTGGTGGCCTAAGTGATGATGGACTTTAGGCCTGTGGTTGTGTGAAGTGGCTGTTGCTTTACAGTGTAGGGTGGTGTCTGGCTCATCCAGCCCACTAATTAATTCAGTTTGATTGGATCTTTACAACATTATGAACTGATGTTCTAGTTACCAAGGCAAAAACTATTGCTTCTTTCAGAGGATTAGGTGCCATTTCACTATGTGGGAAAAAAATGTCAAATGTGTTTCATTGATTTTACTTTGTTTGTAGGCCTTGAACAATGGTGAGGAGAAAGATCATTCAGCTTAATTTGCATCAACCAGCCATTTAAATACTCAAAGGTATATAGCTATCAAGTGATGTACTTAATTATTTATACTATATAATTAAGAGCCAAAAGCTTTCGTAGAAGTACAGCAAGTCAGAAATCTGAAATGCCAGGGTATTTCATGGTGAGTGTGTAAAATGCACCAGTTAATCCTAATTATGAGTTCAGATGGATTGGGGAGGGGGCAATACAGATGGTGATGAGGCAATCGAGCACCTGGACTGCCGCAGTGGGTATTTAAAAGGATGTTGCGTCAGAGAGGCTCTCTGTTTGTTACACTTCCTGTCACTTGACATGGTCCATCATATGGCTGGGCAATTAATTGAAATTAATCAAAACCAACATTTGGAATCTCTAATCAATGTAATCTTGCCCATGTGGTTTACTTCATTTTTAAAAAATTCTGTTAATACTTTCCCCACTGTTCGTTTATGTCCTTTCCCCTTAGAAACATACTACCGCGTGTGTTGTCACATGACTCCGCCGTGTCCAGTCTGCAACATGGAAACATGGAGAACTCAAACACTGAGTGGACCGACTGAGCAACTCCAGCATCTTGTACCAAAGAAAAATGCTGTGTCTGTTGTCTGAACACATTGTGGGTCTAGTGAAGACTGCAACAAAAAGAGGTCAAATGGAAACACTGTGGAAAAACCGTTCTAGCTACTAAAGGTAATACCACCAAGTAGGGGTGGGCGATATAACCAAAATCTTCTAATACGGTTGAAGCAATTTTCTACCTCGATAACGATATATCACAATATAGCAATTTGTATCTGGAAATGCATAAATAAAAATTCAAACACAAAGAAACTTTTATATAATGTAATTTTATTTAAACTGTGAATTGCAGCATTACTTTAAGTAAAAAAAACAACCATACTGTTTACTGCAATGTATTGTAAGTTTTATGTTTTTTTTTCTCAGAACAACAGGTACTAACATAGTGCCTGACAGTATAGTATTCTTTACAATCTCCTCTTTGTTGGTTTTGTCACATGTAAGCAAACTCAACGCTGCACCGTCTTCTTCCATTGTCAAAGTGAATGTGTATTGCGTGGTTACCTAACGTGCAACGTCACGTTATCTCAATTGCGATTAAGACGATAGACCAAAATCTCTATCGGTTGACACATTTCTACCGGTTAGTCGTGTCTACCGGTATATCACCCACCCCTACCACCAAACCATTTCAACACTAGCAATATTTAAAATGCAGTGGAGACTGCTTATAGTGATCATGTTTATAGTGATCAACTGCTGTTATGGATCAAAATGCTTGGGACAGAATCATTCCTGTACAAATACTGTTTCAGCAATTTGCATAGTCATTAAGTAATCTGCTTACAGTATTCATTTTGGGTCTTTTTAAACATAATATATGGAAAAAATAAAACTGCAGTATTTTTTTTTATTATTTTTTTTTACTTTGATAGCCCTACTTTGCCTTGCGGTTACCCGTCTGCTTCTGGCTAGCTACCTAAGGCTAATGCTGCATGCACAGAAAACCTGACGGGGGGAAAAAGTCATTTTCTCTCAATGAAAAATATACACTCATCACACCATATAATAAACTGCCAAAAACAAGCCAACAAGATGCAGTAGCAAAAGTACAATAAGCTAATAAGTATTTTATATACAGTATATATAGTATTTTATATACAGTACTGTATTGTAGCGTATTTGAATATTACACAGTTCATTAACTTGTGCAGTACAGTAATTTCAAAAGCATTTGAAACAGCTGTACTGTATTTTGAAATCGTCAAAAAAAATAGCGACACTGTACGTTTTATTACCTTATATTTGTGTAATAAATATACAAATCTGAATTAGATGGTAATCTGCCTGAGACATAAAGAAAAAGAATCTGTTATGATGATCATCCGCTTTATAGTGATCAATTTCACCAAGACAGATGTGATCACTATAAATGATTTATGTTTGCAAGAAATGCAAACTATTTTCTACTTTTTAGGGAACTTGCTTGTGACCTTTTTTACAAGACGTTTTCATTTCATGTTTTTGTGCTTTGCTTTCAGTTTTTCAAAATATACAATGAATAAGCATAAATTGTATATCTTTGATTTAAAAACAACTGAAGGAAACACAGATGGACAATCTCTCATTGGAAAGCAAATCCCAGCTTCAATAGTTGACCATATTTACAGTACAAACCTTGTCAATGAAATGAGGGCAAAAAACAAAAACACCAGGAACAAAATAATCGTTCATTAATCGTAATTGAGGTAAATGTTCAGTTAATTTGATTAATTTGAGGTCATATCACCCAGCCCAAGTCCGTCATGTCTTCCGGGGGTCAGGGAGACCCCTAAGATTATGCTTCTGTGAGCATGAAGGTGTCTGGGTCATCAAGGTTGCTCCTGGTAGGGGAAGCCTTGGGGGGTGGGGGCAGGGAGACTGATGGGACAGCAGGGCATTGGACTTCCCATCTGGGTGACGTTCGATTTCTCCATGAAGCCCAGCCTGAGCTCCTGTTACGTCTGCGCATAGACACATGGACTTTGTTCTGCTATCACCATCTGTAATTGGGTGTATGCATTTGTTGTAATGTTCCTCTGTAAAATATCACTTTATGAAATGAGTTATCAAAGCCTTCATTGTCTACTGTTGATACTTCATGGTATTTTTGGTGTGTGTGTGTGTGTGTGTGTGTGTGTGTGTGTGTGTGTGTGTGTAAATATATATAAAATCTTGGCTAATTCGAACCCATGAAGCTCTTTTACTAAGGCATGGTTGACTTTGACCCAGCTATTGAGATTCAAACCTGTGACCTTTCAGTAAAGCCAATTGGACTGCTTTATGTTTGTTAAAATGGTTGAAATCTCCTGCCCTCGCATGGAAGGATAAAAGCTGCTCTTCATTTTGCCCCGCCCCACCCCACCCCCCTTGCTTCCCTCGACGTGATCTGACCCCTTATTTCCTGTCAAGGTGGCAGGTGGCACACGCCACATTTCGGATGTCATCGCCATGACCTCATTTCTGCATTGCATTAGAGGCTCTGCTGCTTGGTGTGGAGGTGATTGGCGCACCGTTAGTGTTCGTTACCCTGCAACATCGGCAGCCATGGCGACGCGTGCTGGAGAGCCAGCTGCAGTGCCCCCATCAGGGCTGAGCCTGCTGGCTGAGATCTTCTGCTCTGGAGCACCATCTGGGGGCCTGTTGGTGTCACATGCCCTGAACAAAGCCAGAGACACCAGTGTGTGAGGCAGGAAACATTCACATCTCTGTTACTGCTGAGTGCCTCGGATAGCTCTCTTCTGGAGTGAACCATCAGCAATGACATCACTCCTCACGTTCTTCTGAAATGCTCAGAAGCTCAACACTAGCCGTTTGCACGGCGACTGTGTTCTGTATTCTGCATAATCTGTGTTCTTTTCAGTACCCTTTCTCTGTCTGGGTCGTAGAATACAGTAAACGTAACGGTACTTTTAAGAGAACTTTTGAGTTTGGGTCGGGGTCCTTCCCGGAAACATCTCACGAGACCCAGCAGCACATCGATTCTACTGAAATGTCTTGCCATTTATGGATCTTTCCTTTGCAGGCCTCCATGATGCTCTTCAGATATCCTGAAGAATGTGACTATTTAGGGCCAAGGATGGGTGTACTCCCCCCAGAATGGGCAGGTAAGCTGCACTTATATTTATCTGACAGTTAGGGTGGGGGGGGGCATCCTCCTGTAAAATGCCTGTCTTTTTGGGGGGGGGGGGGGGGGTTGGTATTTGAAGCAGGTCGAATGAACACTGCATATGGCACTATTCCCTTCTTTTTCCAGCTCTTGGGTGCCATCTAATTGCTGAAGGTGGAATTGCAGGGGGTGGCTGGTCTAATAGTGAGAGTACAGCTCTCCCAAAACAGAGCTCTGACTGCGGCAGTATGGGTGATACGGCAGATCTGTATCATTCTTTTAAAGTGGTGAGAGGTCCCTCAGGGCCTCAAGTGTTAAGTGTTGTTGACTTTGTATACGAGGTGTCCTGAGAGCTATCTCCCCCCCGCCCCCAAATCCTTGACACATTTCCATGTCAAGTGTTGGTCAGTAATTAGCATGCATGACCAGGTAGTGGTCGACATCATCAGAAGGTGCAGTGATGCTGTACACCTCTGCAATGGGGAATTGCTTTGGTAAATATAGAGTAAAATAGCCCTAGTTGAATGGGTCTTATGCAAGTTACCCAAGGTGTCCATCTGACAGGAGGGGTGTTCTGTCATTTATGCTGTGTTACATCTTCAGTGACTGAATAAAACCCAAAATCATAGAAGTTGTCATCTGGTATTTCTAAAGTTAATGTCTGTTTACAGTGTGTACTTCACAGATTCTTACATTACCTGTCACCTTGTCCGAGCATCATGTGACCTTGAATCCATTGACCAGATGGTGGAATACTTCAGCTGGATATTGTGTCCAGTGTACATGCATTCAAGTTCTTTTCCAGCCTGGTGTATCAGTAGACAGCAGGTAACAAGAAATTTTAGGAGAACTATCCTGGAAGTTGCAGTTTGACTTCTTGGAAGGGGCTATGCTTTTGCACATTTAGAATTATACAAGGACAATACCATTTTTTTTCTCTCATTCATACAGCTTTCAGTCACATTAGGGGGGAAAGTCTGTTGAACAGCTTGATGTAAAAGTGGCCCCTTTGCTGTTTTGGCCTAAAACTGGCCTTTATAAAGAAATACACCAACCCTACACCGTAACGGGGACCTGCTGAGATCACATCCAGACTGTCACGTGTTTAGGAAGCTGGGCGTGTGGTTGAATCAGAGAGAACTTTTTGCGTGACTGTTTTGATTATATTCTGTTGAAATAGTTCAAGTGTAGGGAAAAATAAACAACGAAGTTATAAAGTATATCATCCAGTCTGGAAAAATGTGGAAATTTAGCAATATGCAGGTAAAATGAAATGTGCCCTCATGCTTTTTTACTAAGCAGGACAAGTTCAAAAACAAATGAATACCTATTGTGCTCTTTATCCCCCCACCCCCCAAGCCATTTTCCCATAATGTTCATTTAGCTGCGTATCCGTTTGTCAGTTCTGGCTTTGGTTTGAGCATCTTGTAATTACAGATTTGTCCACAAGAGGGAATGTATATAAAAACAAAATAACGGAGCAGCTTCCGGTTTTCATAAAATTTATCTGGGAGACTAAATTGCAGGTGCAATTTTAGACTTAAGACACAGCAAACTTATTGGTGAATACTGTAAATACTGGTGTTCCAAATGAAAAGTACTCATAATGCCCACAGAGCGTGTGGGTTTTTGTAGATGACGAACAGGTTGCAGACTAATATATAAAATTTGCTTCACCCCCTGTCAAGTTCTTTTTTTTTTTTTAATATCGGGCATAATAATCTCTACTTCTCAAAGTGTGCCCTCCCGGTTTAACAATTTACTACATTCATTATGTTGTCATTTGTCAAAATTTGGATATGCAAAATTAAGATATTTTTTATATATTTTAATTGTTCTTGAAAAGCATGTATTAATTTTTATTAGATTTTAATAACTTCTAATTATTGTATATGGGGATTATATGCACATAAACACCTTTGTTTTTTTTTTTAAAAAAAAAAAAAGATTTTATACACGTTTGTGTTGTAAAATCACTAAAACGCAACTTTCTTATAGTTAACAGCAGACACCCCACGCCCTGTCCGCACCGCCCCTCGCACAACACCCAACACCCCCCACCTTGTCGCCGGGGCGACGCGAACGCGCACGCGCGCGGGCCCGCGCGGGAATGGCTGTCGCGTGACGGGAGGGGGGGCCGGGCCGCCAGGAGCGAGCGGACGGTTACGGAGTTTTTAATGTCCGCCATGTTGGCCATGGCGTACTGAGCCGGGGAGAGAGAGAGCGGAGCAACGGGAAAAAACACATCGAGAGTGAGCGACCGAGATCCGGGCCTTCCCGGCGTCGTCCTGGAGAGCACCACGGACGCATCAATGAAAACTAAAACTGGAGCGGCTGCGCTTTTTATGGGATCACGTAGATTTATGCTGCGTCTTTAATCATAAGAATGAGTAAACTGTCGTTTCGGGCGCGGGCGCTGGACGCCGCCAAGCCTCTACCCGTCTTCCGCTGCGAGGATTTACCCGACCTGCACGAATATGCCTCGATCAACCGGGCAGTACCGCAGATGCCGACCGGGATGGAGAAGGAAGAGGAATCGGTACGTTTAGCCGTCCCGAAGCGGGAGTCGGATAATGACACCGGGCTATCAGTGTACGAGGGGCGCCCCTGTCCTGTCTGCGCAGGTTTGCACAAAATGGCCGCCATGTCCCTCTTTTCAGAAAGGCGCTATTATGATGCGCCTCAACCGCGCCAGCTGGAATAAAACGCCGCGAACACGGACATAAGGACCCGTTATCTCTAAATCGTGTGGTAAAGGCCGGTTGCGGCGGCTCGTTTCTCCTGGAATCGGTTCGCCGAACACAAAGGGGTCACGTGATGGGAGTCGAGCCCGCCATCTTGTCCGCGGTCTTTCTGCTCCGGGGCGCGCCTGTACCGCTGCAGCTGCGGCGGGCCGCAGCCAGGGGGTGCCGTCGAGCCGAGCGGGGCTGGGGAGCGCGCTCGCCTGTCTGTCGCTGCATGTTTAGTCCGCGTGGGAGAGACGCACGGGCGATAGAACGGGAGATGCATGCAACTTTGTCGTTAAGTTTAGAAGGTAACACGTATTAAGTAATTGTGGAAGAAAGCATGACTTGTTATTGCGGATCAATTAAAACTCTGATTCGGGTTTTGGTCTTGCGTCTTTGCTAAATACCTATTCATCAAATGTGTGTGAATTCCCACCTTCCAATGACAATTGTGATGGATCCTCCTGGCAATAAACATTCTGTAATCAGTGGTCATTGAATTGTTCATTCTGTAACGAGCATGTTCTGCCAGTTTGTGGGGTTTGTTATGCATGCTGGGTGGGTGTCCTGTACTGTGTTTACATTCTGTCAGTTGTGACTTGCATGCCTTGAATGAAAAGGTTACATTGGCCCCTTTTTGGTGAATTAGCCTTTCTGCTCTGTGGGATGTTTTGCTGAAAGGGTGCTGTTTCATTCTTATGTTTCTGATAGAATTTAATCAGACTTTGGCAGGTTTAAGCGAACACAGTACTGCACCGTATGGGTCACAGGAATGTGTGACACACCAGCCTGGGATCTGGTTGTGGAAACTTGTGATGAGTGCTGCATTTGTGTGGCAAGCCTGCAGTTTTCATTTGTGTAATTGGAAGTGACCCCCTTCCAGCATCTTTGTATTGATACACCACATCAGACCTGACAGTGTGTCTGTGACATTGCACAGACACACTGCCATGTCCTCGTTGCCACTATTCCCAATGTGCTGTACCCTGTGCTTTGGGGGAAACTGACTTTTTATTAGACAGAATTTCAAAAGTTGCTAGGTTTTAAATACAGTATTTCTCAGGAATCTCCCACAAATGCACAGTCCTGAATTATGAATCCCATTGTTATGCGTTTATAACACAACTGCGGGCAGATTCCATTACACTGGGGTGCAGACACAATTCGCATGTGTCAGACTGGGTATCCTATGCTAATTAATGTTTAAAGTTTCTGTACTGAAGACAGTCTGCAAGAAATAAGTCCCGTTTTTGGTGATTTGACTGTTAACCTTGACTAAGGTTAAAAGAATGGCAACTTTCGGTCCTGTAGCACACTGTATTAATTATTTATTAGTGGTTAATTTTGCTCTTTGTGGATATGCTGTAATTGTGCCAAATCAGAATTGTTTTATAGTTCCATCAGTCAGTGTTAGCTATAGACTGTTTTTTGTAAGGATTGGTTAACAATGCTGCGTTTTAATTTTAAATAGAAGCTCTGCAGCAGTGTTCATATTAGGTTTAATTTGTGTGTGTTCCACTTGTCTGTGCACAGCGCACATGCTTTTCACAGGAACATCAAACTGTAAAACACCTGCCAGTAGCTTTTTGGGATTTTTCCCACTATGGCTCGTGGTTTTGTTTTCTGGTTGAAAGTGTGTCATATCACAGAATAGCAGCTGGTTAAATTTCCCCATGCCCTGACAGCTTTTCAGGTGTTTCTCGGGTAGTTCATTTTCGCTGAAAGGACTTTGCTTGATAGGGTGAAAAATTACTTCCTTGATGGAGCCAGTGGGACAGGTTTAATATTTCTACATTAAGTTGTTTTCGTATCCATTCAAAGTCATTGCTGCATTTTAAATTGAAGCGGGTGGATGAGTGGAGCCCCTAGTAACTGTGTTCTGGATGTGGGCCCTGTTGATTTTGGTGGAGGGATGAGAGGGGCCTGCAGTTTGTTGGTTCATTCTTCCTTTATGGCAAGTCTGACCTCTGAAAGTCTGAGTCCTGTTGATGGTGCAGCCTCTGGAAGAAGGAATGAAGGAGTGCAAGCTTTCTGTCTCCAGCGGGACTCCCTCTCAGCAGGGGCCTGTAGTACTCCATTGATTTCAGGGCAATTGAGATGGCACATGACCTGCTGTCATTCATCCGAAATGTTATGTTACACACCTGTTGTTTGAACTCTGAGAATGAGAGGTTTTTCTGATGTCTTCTAAAATTGTTCAGTACAGGCAAATCAGAGGCAAGTTTCTGTGAAGCTGTTCTCGCTGCTAATATGGTAGAAGATCTAATAAGTG